GTATGTGTACGTTATTTAATATTCATTCTGATCTTATAACATAAAAATTGTGTTTCTCTAAATTACACGAAGGTAACACATCCGGAGTTCGGTCACGGGTTTTCCGCAAGCTTAGCCATAGAAGGTTAAACAAACAAACCGAAAGCATACATGTCCTTTTAAAGAGTGTTTTGTTTATTCCTTATTATATTATACAATCAAAATTGTATAAATATATTTTATATAATACGAGGTTAATCCAATTTTAGGTGCGAACTTGAGCAGAGTGCCTCTTGGTCGACCGTATGAGATATTGTGCGCATTTTGGTATTTAGGAAAAAATGACATGATGGAAATAAAGTTAGTAAGAACTATTTAGGTGACAAGGTTATAAATAAATTACATATGTAATATGGTCACCTAGTGGTATTGTTGACAATGAAACTAATAGCCGAGTTCATTGAACTGCTGAACTGATACCCACATAACGGGCCTGCGAGACTCGTCATACAATCGTCCTGCCACAATCCAGTCCTGCGTACCGTTCGTCACCGGTTCCAGCGGTTACTAGTTTGCATTTTTTTTATTCCACCGCCACAATACTTTTTTGATAGCGGGTCATTGTATTGTTGTATTGGACCATTTCCAACCATTGTACGCAGGCACTCCATTTTGTATGTAAAGTAGAAACCACCCAAATTGTTGATCCTGGTTACACTTCTATTTCCTTTGTATGAGTACCTATATTGTTACATTACACAAAATAGTGCCTATCTAAACAACAAAAGTAAGAGTGATTTACCTCTAATTTACCTTGGCAGTAGCCCAGTTTATAAGACGGTCGAAAAGGTACGTTGACCTCAAGGAAGACAATGAACTTGGGTCCGACCGGTCTCCAAATGACAGAAGAGATAAGTAAGTACCTACCTACTAATAGACGGCTGCCGGTGGAGAGGATTAAAGTTGCGTAACAACTAATGCACTTAGACTTGCATGACAGGTACTCACACACTCAGAACCGAGTTCCTTTCGTTATTTGTAATTCTGGTTTTTCATTCTACTTCGTACCGAGCAAAGGCCAAATGCGTAGTAGTAAATTATAATTTTTTAATATTCATAAAATTTGGTTGTTATTGCAAGTTTTCTCAAAAAAAATATAAAATAAAAAACAACTAAGAATATATTACATTAACAATTGACACACAGATATAGTCATTTTCCACTGCGAAGCCGAGGTGCTGGATTAAATTGACAAAAATCTCCATGTGAAGAAAATGACATGCCGACCCCAAATAAGGGGAAAAGACATTACAATAACAATGAAGACTGCGTAGTATAGTAGGGTTGTCCACCCTAAACCACACAGACTTCTTATCCAATACTCAATACCTAATTTGTCATAAGAAATATTATCCCAATATCAAAAAGCTTTTTTAATATCCACTCGTAAGTCCTGTCTCTGCAACAACTTTGAAATTATAATATATTAGACAGACGTTTTGGAAGTTTTCAATCATTTTGAATAAATAACTAAAAGAGTTTGAAACATTACTGGCTGTTAATATTTGAAAGTACTTTTTACTTAGTTGCCGCATGTATCGTTGAAAAACATACAGCACGAATTATATGTTGTATGTACAAACTTATACATGCAAATTGTGGTTATTGCGTAGTCAGGTCAACCTGATACGTATGTAATACCCATGTTATTAACTTATCCATAAAATAATTATGTAAATAAACTTTGTTACATTGTTATTTTCAATTTATGATCCATTCTTTGTTTTTTATACAAGTTGGCTATTGTATGTGCTCTGTGATTTTGGTTAATTAGTGGTTTCCGTTAGTGAAATATTTAGGCGTAGACTATATTGTATTTTTGGTGAGTTTATTATACGTGGAACATTACGTGAAATCACAATTCTGAGAACACAACTAACAGCACAGCCAGAATAAAAATTACGTATTTGTACTTTAAAATAAAGAGAACTGAAGAAAATAAATCTTAATACTATAACGGCATGTTACTTTTAGCGGAATTATAGCAAAAAAAATAATATACGTCCAACAGTACAATTAATGAATGAAAACTGTCGGTGCTTGTGTATATAAAACTAATGAAATTTAGTAATATATGAAACTGCCATTTATTTTATACTTGATGAGGCATACATTTTTATCGATTCGATAGTATCTACAATTTTACTTGAAACACCTCCACAAAAAAGAATTATTTTTTTGTATGATATTGTTATTCTTGTTACGTATTTTATATTTTATAGGCTCAGTTTATTTTGCCATCATACTTGGCTGTCTGTATTGTCCAACAAGTAAAGTTAATTATCCTTGCCCCGAATTGGGATCATGACACGTAGTGAAACGATACCAATCCAATTTGCAATATAAATTCTGTTTTATCTCTGGAATTTTAATTCAAACATCAATATAATGTCACGTTGCGGGTATATCAACAAGAACAATATAGCCATAACGATCACCGTGATACACGCACGCTCTGGGGTTTAGAATTTTATTAAATAAACAATGTCGATTCATATAATCGTTTAATTTGATTTAACCGACTTTAAAAAAATATCATAAATCTATGAATAGATTTTCTATCGATAGTCAAAAGCACATAATAAAAATTTATAACGGTTTAGCACGTGTAAGTTTATTTCTCATTTTGTATTTATTGTCGTATAAATTTTATGACTATTAGACGGATTATCGAAACTTTAAGACACACAAGATACCTTGTAATTTTGGAAAAATAAATAAAAATGTTTCACACATCATTTCACGCTCGTCCGGACAATTTATAAAGCCAGCTGCGGTCAACAGCATTAGAGTAGTCCGAAAAATAATTATTTCACTGCATTTGACAATTTAATGGGTTTGAGATTCAGATCGTGTTGTGTTATCACAATTATGGAGTATTTCTGTTCCATTACCGCAAATTGTTATAGGATTTCCAGAATTGTTATTAAATCCTAATGAGGTTAGACTAATCGCTTGGAATGCATCTATTATTTACTCCTTCTATCGATCATGAATACGTAATCCAAACTACGTGCTCATAAATTTATGCTTCCTGTTTGTATTTACACATTATTCGTAATCCATGATAAATGCAATTCGATTCTATCGAATTACCTCCATGGAATATTATAATATTATATAGGTATATTCTTTTATTTCAAACAATTTCACAACTCGTCTTATGCATTCATACCGAATCCAAAGACTCGCAAACTCCCACAGATCAAGATCGGTAGAATAAATATATTTCCATAGTAGATAACCATAGCATTGGCGGTTAAGGGTTATAAAAAACAATTTTGAATTTCCGATCGTTGACGTGCCCCAAGTTAAGGAATCCAATAATTTCGCCAAGAAAGAAATTCCATTGGTGAAACGAGAAGAAAAATACCAAATCGGTATTACTTATACCTATCTACTTTTTGTAAGACCACCAGACTGCTTAATGATAATCGTTTTTCTCAATCAATTATTCGTTTGATATATTCATAAATGATTAGCGGCAATTATTTATTTCTCTATTTTCATCTAAGATATATAAAATTTTACTTTGAATAATTTAATATTTTTTAAGTAGGTATAATAATAGATAATTACAACTTTGCAAAGCTATATTGTTATCCATAATGTTACCAGTACTCATAACATTTGTTTAGCTTGGAACTAGATGACGCTGTGTGAATAGTCTAGGGTAATTATTTATTTATAAAAGTGGCTGTTACAGATTTTGAACTATAATAATCTTCAAATAAAATTGAATAGAATTGTGGGTATTTAATTAAATTACAAGTTTGATTTTAATCTCACCTCTTAACTTGACTAATAATTTCACCTCCTGATATTAGACCCCAGCGACCCAACTTTAAAACTTTTGAAGCCATGAACATCAAAATAATATTATATAACTAACTAAATTCTGAGGGTCAGTATGATGTTAACTTTACTAATTTCCGTTCTCATAGTACTCATTTTCAGATTAAAGTCTTATTAATATTATAAATGCAAAAGTTTGTGAGTATGGATGGATGTTGTCTTTCACGCAGAAACTACTGAACGGATTTTGTTGAAAGTTTACATTGATATAGCTTATACATAGGCTATAAATTCCACGCAGGGCAATCCGCGGGCTGATCTAGTAATATATATATATGTAGTATCTGTTCATAACACGGTGTCTATCGAGGTATAGTAAACGGTAAATCACGCTGCTCACCAACTTGATCGCCGTTCTCATTGTATAAAAAAGATAATCGCCACAACCATGAATGATTGATTGATCCCTATATGAACGAATAACTCATCAGGAAGTTATGGAATTTGCCCAACAGAGAAATGAAATTCCAGCATATTCGATCACTTATATACCCAAAATTTTTACTTACTGCTATTACTAGAATGTTTATTTATTTAACATCTGTTATACTGTTATAATAAGTAATAAAAAAATAATAATTTTCATCACTATAACGTTGCAGCATAATGCGATAAAGACTAACTCAGATTTATCCAGTTTTTATTGTAAAATGACTGAATTGAGTGACATTTATATTTGGAGTCAATAATAAAACTTATGTTTTCTCACGATCAACTGTTGCATTGAATATCGTCGCACATGTCCTACATATACCTACTTGTTGTCCAGGCAAACGTTGTTTTTCCTTATAAATGTAGTACTAATATTGCTATTAAATTAAGGATTTTTAATGCAAAATCATAATAAAATAAGATAAAACAAGTTACAAAAAAAAAGTGTGGGTCACCCTTATTATTGAAAGATATGAAAATAGATGATTCTCAGACATAAAAATCGGTAAAGATGTTTCAGCGGAGTTTTGTAACAAACACCGCGACATGAGAATTTTATGTAGATATTATATCAGTAAAACTTTGGAAATCAGTTTTTGGGTATTACCTCACCCTTACCATGATATTGGTTATACACAAATAAGTAGATATTTTACGTATTGATTGTTTTGCAGGCCATCGTTTTGGGGCCAGCGAACAAAGCTGGAGAAAAGATTAATGCTAGTAGCGGGTCTGGCTACAGTGTTGGCTGTAGCGTTCCTGGCCGCTTTTGTAGCCAGTTTGATCATGCGCACCAATGCTGACGTCAATGGTAAGTTTTTTTTTTTAAAAAGTGTTTTTAGTTTTTATAGTCTCTTTCTCCTTTTAATACAGCAATTGCGTTATCAATATACGCTCGCTAGAGGTGAAATATACTTTATGAATTTTAATTAGCACGTTACCTACTTAAGTGTCTGTAGATCAAATACTTGATTATAACTTTTCACGATTATATTTCGATTAGTCTGTATGTAATCGAATACAGTAAATGCTAATTTTAAATGTAAAATAAAATAAATTTTAAACCACGTCCTCAATTGGTCCATTTGGCATAATTAAAAGATATACAAATATATGCTATCAGTTATTGTTTATTTATCCTTGAAAGGATAGTGTATTCTTATTTGAATACTTGACATTAAAAAATATATTAGACCTTATATAGGCGGTAATGTTTGCTTTAATTTAATTTCATTACCTGTTTTGGACATACTTAAACCCTTTTGGACACATCTGTATAAATGAAAATAAAATATAAGTACTTAAACAGAACCTAAATTTTACCTGGGGGACATATTTTAGGAGGAAACCTGTTTGGTATCGTGTAATGATTTTAAAACAAACATGCATTATATGTTTTCAATCATCTATCTTTATAATATACAGTAAAATATTATAATAAGTTGTATTGTTGAAGATATATCTAGGCACTAAACAAGTTTCTATATTAGGAGTATATGCCACAATAATTTTGCGTCCAAGAATTTCAAGAAATTCCATACACTACATAATATTATATATACCTATGATGAGGTAGTTGCATGTACGTCTTCGTGGATAATGGTATGAAATACTACAAATATGAAAAATATATTTTCGTTGCCAAATCAATAAACTCAATGAAAATTAATAGATTCATTTGTGCAAATACTAAAAAACCTATAGAAGAAAATTATCGTACATGGTTTAACGTATATATAAATATCACCTACGAAAGGTAAAACTTTTTTCTATTAAATATATATAATGTAGTTAGAATATAAGAATGCAAGGATTACTCACTTATTGTAATAAGTTATTGTATGTTCACTTCGCTTACAAAATGTGCAATGTCCATTGAATATTTAACGAGAGAAAATTTCGTGTCTTATTCACTGTCATTGTTCTTGCTAGGTCTCTATAATGATAATATAATATTTTGTAGTACAAAAAAAAATCTTTTAGAAGAGAAACTTGATAGATTTTTATATTATTTAAATTGACATCACTGCCTACTTTTAAATCGAGCGTTAAAAAATATTATTCACGAAACTTATCTTCATAGTAACGTCGCTATTGTATAGATATTATTTAATTTATTTATATGTATATATGTATGTATATATATATATATATATATATATAATGATTATTATGTAGTTATATGTATGTGTATATGATATGTAAATTGTACATCCAACAACTAATTGTTATACCTCGACCAGACACAGTCTAATCACTCCTCTCCATCCTAAGGTTGCCTGGAAGAAATCGCTATTTAGCGATAAGGCCGCCCATTGTTACCTCTATATTATAATTATTTTGTTATTATTTTCATATTTAATGTACATATTAATTTATGTAATTATTCTTTTTGTGAGAGAAACAATAAAGTGTTTTTCATTTCATTTCATTTCATTATTTCAAAATTTTATAATTATATTTTTATTTTCGCACATTACTTTTTATTTCATTCTAGCGTATAAATCTTATCAGTCTCATCAATCAATATCCCCATATAAAACCTCTCGCTGTAGGTAGGTATCTAATATACCTCCCCTTCACATTTAAATTTTAAAGTTGGTAAAATGATTACTAGTATAAATATAAAAGTTAAAAAATCCAAATATACTCAGACTCAAATAAGTTCAGAGCCAAGATATTGAAAAATACGTAAGACTCGAGAAAAGACGTTTCTCTATTCATATTTATTTAACTGTATGAAATTTCACTCTACTAATTTATAAAGGAAAAGTATATTTGCATATATATTATAGTTTAGAGTACTTTGGAGACTAACTATGTATTAATTATACAAGTCTGCTATTCCTAGCACTTATTCTTTTCAATGTTATTCATTTAACAACAAACCAAATTTTATTTAATACTAATATGGTTGGCACTTAATACTCAATTAGAAATGTTTTTAATGTAACATTTTTATTAGGTACATTTGAAATTAATATAAATAGCACAAGTAATATTAATAAAAAACGTTGCTTGTTTTTAAAAAATAATTTTAAAGTTCCTAAGCGGTACCTTGAAATTTAGATTTGAGTAAAATTAACAAATACTTGCCCATTATATGATTCATATTAGAATCAATAAACTGTTATGGTTTTCCTTAAATACAACATACAATATTTATTTCAAAGAATTCACATATATGTATAATAATTTTAAGAATATATTACATATTAGATTAAAATAAGCTACGTGGTGGGTATAGAATTAATATTTAGTACCTACAACTATTAATGACTTCAAACAGCTTACTTTGCAAGGTATGCTTTGAAGACCAAAAACACGCTAGTGTCCTCCACTGAGTTTCCTGTCCCATTCAAACGGGGATCGAATTCACGACGGGTTGAGTCGAGGTTCGAACCCCTAACGGCGACTTCAGAGTAAAGCATACGGCTTCAATCTTAGAATAGGTCGACGAAACTCATGTTAGTAAAAATTATCTTTACGTATTCCATAGTAGAACACTATCGAGAGCGATCGCTCTCATTTAATTTACTAATAATATCGATTATTGTTCAAAGTCCCAATCAGAAAATACAATGCACACGTGATCTGACAGGTAATTTTAAAGAAAGAGATAAACTAGTTGATACAGGATCAAGCTTAACCATTGTAACTTTTTATATTTTATTAAAATGGATACAATACAATAACGAGAAGACTATATAAGCGTGACATAATAACAATCACTTCAGAAGCATATCCATGACAATCACCTTATATTCTTACTATGGATCAACTATTAAATTGCCACTACTTTGCCTTTCCTAACAGACCTATTCTCGTTACACAATAGACTGCGTTAATACGTATTTCTGTTGTTCTTGTTTCTTCCACAATAGACCTTTTTCCTTGTAGTTCCATCTAAATTTCCGGCATTAGATAGGGAGGAAAAGAAAATTTTATTGGCTTATGGAACCGTTGTAGTTACTAGCTTCTTTTGTTTATGGCATTAGTTAACCATAAATTTAAAGAACGTGATATATAATTATGTAAGTACACAATAACATACCACTAATTGGCTGCTAAGGCACGGACCGCCTTTATACTGTACTATTGTTACGTTACTAAAGTACTTGTAAAATTATATAGAGGTTTGTAAATAGATCATACCTTCACAAGTGTAGTCCCAGATGAATTAATAAGAGATACTGTCAGTAGACCATGTGAACAGTATTTTATTATTATTCGTACAGATATAAGTATGTATCAAATATTGGCTATTATATAAAAAAAGGCAAATTTAAATCAAAAATATGTTACATATACTCGTAGGTAAATATTAATTTATGTTGATGCAATATGCGAACAATTATATTAGCATAAAAAATTTCCTATCATTTAATAAACCTTTCGGAAATTAGTACGGAAGTTGATGGAGCGAGATGTTGACGTGATTGAAATTCGCACATCGGTGCACAAGATTCATCTTGCGGAAATATTCGCAAATAAATGTGCTTATGTGAAATCTGGAATATAAGAAGTGTATCTAAGTAGTGAAAAATATACTACGGCAAGCATCACGAGCAGCAACAGGGATGCCAGCTCTACGAAAAACCTCGTACAATTTTCAGATTTTTGGCCTTTCAAGGACATTTTTATTGTTAAAAGCACGATTTTGACGGTCAAATGGGATAATGTGTGAGGTTAGAGATCAGATTTTTTATTTCCTCCTACGCAACTAAATATTTTTAGATTGGCAACCCTGAGCAGCAAGCAGTTACAAAATGTTAGATCACGTCGCGTCGTGTGGCGAAACGTTGGTGAACGGCCACGCTTCGGCGCTCTTACATTCGTGACAAAAATATTATTGAAATATTATGACAATACTATTAAAGGTCGAAATTGATCCAAAATTGATCAAACTGTTTAGAAATAACGTTATTTTTTACAATACTAGTTCAATTTTAAAGAATGCAAGTAACAATGTAAAGTAATAAATTGTACAGTGCAGTTACAAATTGTTGAGTAATATAATTATACAACAGAAAAGAAAACATAGATGATAGTTCATAGTAGGTACTGAGTATTTTCATATTATTAATAGGCACGACAAGGTGATCACATTTTACACTCAATCGAACATAATGCGTATATATATATATATATATATAATATATATGTATATATATCCATATAGCATCTATAGAAAATAGTTACACGAGTAACTCTAGGTTATAAGTTGTCACAGTTCATCAAGCATATTATATTATTATTAGAATTAATTTTTTTATTAAATAAGAATATGACTACCTACTACCACTATCTTAAGGATATACTTATTTCTCTCAGCATTAAAAGTTTAACGAGCAGCAAGTTTACTTGTATATTGTAGATTGAATGAATAAAAGTACATTTTTTATTATACTTTAAATTGATAGTTTAACCTTATCAATCAATAGACTTATTATTAGTGACTTACATTATTAATACGTCGAATACTTTAGAGTTCATTAACTTAAAAATATATCTAAGTAGAATAATATATAGATACTTACTTACTTACATTCATAGTATTCCAGATACTATGTGAACTCATAAGATAATTAACAGGGAATAGCATGTATTATTTTCATGGTTTTGAGGATATGTTTTAGTAATTATTAGAACTTCATAAGATTAAATCACGGCAATAGTTTAAGAATATGATATTATGTCCCCAATTGCTACTGAATTGCCTTTAACACACTCTTTTAAAAATGTTTGTTTAATTCTAGATTGCAAATTGGCTGACCTGAAAATGGTACCTTATCGACTTCGCTCGTGTCCTATTTTGCTAATTTAAAGTTATACAATTGAGCTAAACTACCAAATAGTTACGTTCTTTCTTTTTTAGTAATTAGAATTTATCACTACTAGTCTAATGAAATACATGTATTTTTGTTTTAGACATACCACAAACAAGCGAACTGAGATTGTCTTCGTCTATGCCGCCAGCTGTAGTAGCCAAAGACACAGATGCAAAAATATGCAACTCCCCTGGCTGCATACACACAGGTATATATTATGATTTTTATTAAAAAAAATAGTATATTTTTTTAAATATGTATTTAATACAAACATTAAAATATTAAACTTTTAGATATTAGTTTAAATATATGCCTACCAAAGGATTTTTACTGAATATATGGTTTGTTCTAGCATCTAAACTGCTTCAAAATATGGACGACAAAACTGACCCTTGCGACGATTTCTACGGTTTTGCTTGTGGTTCATTTGTAAAGAACACTCGCATACCAGACGACAAAACATCAGTCAATACCTTCTCTATCATAACTGACCAGCTACAGGAGCAGATCAGAGCTTTGTTGGACGAGCCAATCATGGCTGGGGAACCGAGGCCTTTCGTGCTTGCCAAAACATTATACCAGGCCTGCATGAATAGAAGTAAGTAACTTTACTATTGTCATTACTGACAGTAAACTTTCCATACGACGAAGTAGAATACAATCTGGCATCGCTAATTTACATATCCAATATGTATGAGTCGGAAAGAAATAGCATCCTTTGCATGAGAAAAAAAATGCATAATAAACCCATTTACCAAGCCTCTAGAGTAGACTAATATTATTTACTTATTTAAAGAGACGCGTTAATTAAAGAAGAATTTTAATGATTATTACAGTTACTGTAAATACTTGTATCTATCCTTTGCAGACATAACAACTAATTAGTTTTATTAAAGTATATTTATTGTTTTTTCTATTGGATAAATAATATTTGTTCCATTGCATGTACAATTTTACTTAAAAATTACAAATGTTACATAAACAGGTACTCGCAAGACTTAATACGATTTACATTATCACTACACAGCAAGGTACTTGAAGAAATACAATAGCATGTTAAGCATTTAATTAAGACTCTGGTCGTTTTGCAGATTATATAGATACTAATTCTGGTTAGTCTATCGAATATACCATCTTCTCATTAACACTCATAATTAGTGTATAAATGTTAATGAGAACCATATTAGTACATTTTTAGTGGATATCATATTACATAAAAAAAACTATCGAAGTGGAATCTGTACAAACTATTTTCTAGAAGGAAGGATATGATAATTAAAATGATATATGCAATGATATTATAACACAAATATATTATCTAAACTATTTAAAAGTAGCAACGAGTCGGAGATATTTATTTCATTTAACTATTTTGAGCTTGCGTTTGAAAACAATTATTCTCAAGACCCTCAATCTGTGCCAAACAATACTTGACGTTAACAATGGTTGACTGGAAGATATCTCTTTAGGAATGACTTATGTCCGCCGATAAATATATTTTACTATTTATAATTGATACTTTTCTGTTTACTTATAAATGTTTTATTAAAATAGAAATAGTCACAAATATGCATCTGGATCATCAGACAGTGATATCAGATAGTGCTCATGAATGTACATCCTCAATTTTATAAGAGCAAACATAGATGTTAAAATAATAATAATTGGATTTCTCATTGGGACGTATTACATTGTCACAATGCGATAGATATCTATAGATAAATAAAAGTCAAATGGTCTATTTAGTTTAGTGATGAAACATAGTTTATTTTCGTCACACGTATCTATAAAGTATTCCACATAGACTCAATGCTGCTAATAGAACCAACGATCACAAGATGACATAACATAATTACTTAAAATTAACAACATTTACAACAACAAACCGTGCTTATGTACAGAACAAGGATGTCCTGGCAATCTAACAGATCAGATGTAACTGCTTATTAGTATAACATGGCTTTTCTACAGACAATTAATTAAAAATTTTAGTTAGTACTGAAATTTCGTTTCAGTACTCGTTACAAAATTTCTGAACTTTCTCCGTTCATATTCCGTAGTTGGAAGTGCAGGAAACTTCCAGTCAACCACAAAACAGTGTGCGATTATAATTAATCGCACACTGTTTTGTGGTTATATATAAATTTGGGGTTATATTGATGGATGGCTAACAATAATAGTGGACTATGTGATCGTTCAATTCTGACACATCTACTTACGTTCTGGTTAACATAAATTATTCCGGACGAGATAATAAGTATCAATTTACCTTTATACGTAGTTATGTTAATACACTCATTACTGTTTTACCTTTATTTAGACTAATTACATTTTAGATATATATAATATATAAATACTAGTTACATAAAATACTAACGTTATTTTGTTTCCGTAAATATTCACAAATATATTAAATTTTTAAATATAGAAATTAATACTCAATATTATATACATCAGACATCTGCTAGTCTTAGTGGGTCCTTTATCTTGCCCATTTCAGCAGCCAAGCAGTGTGCTTTATAAGATGAGTTTCGGTTGAAAGGTGAGATAAAACAGAGAAATTAACGGGTACAGATATGGAGAGACATAAGAGATACAAAGGATGTATACCTATATTGGCGACAATTACCAATTTCCATCGGGTTCGAATAGAATTTTTATAATATCAAATACATAAAAATTTAGATTAGAGAGATAGCTTTATACTTTACACTTACTGAACATAATTACGATAATTATTTAACTGTTATATTTGTGTTACTTAAACCAGTTGTTGCGATAAATCCGAGTGAAAGTGAAGCAGTGATGTTGCTTCCTACTTTGCACAACTTATGTGACGTAATGCATGAATAACGCTGAAGTGGCCGCCCAGAGGATAACAAGTGTATCGAACTATAAATATTACGAACAATTCACTCGACAATAGATTTTGTTATATGTAGTTTTTTTTGTTGCTCCTCCTATTCATTTAATTGATAGTCACATCACGGTCTAACTGTACGAAGTAATAAGTATTATTTTTATAGTAGTCCTTTGTATATAAAGTAATTTAATTAGATTAATTTTATATTATTTCTGTATTTTAATCTTATGTATTTAATCTTCTGTATTATAATCTTATGTATTGTAATCTTATTTTTTAGAAATAATATAAATGAAATACCCATTTTACTTAGTTTTACTTTATGTAATTAAGGTATAAATATTTGAATTTTATAATGACAGTAGGTACTATGTATGTACACATGTATCTATTGACCCAAATAATAATGTATTTCCTAAATTTTTTACAATGTTAGACTAGTCTGGATATTTGAATACATTAAACGTTTTTTCAGTTGCCCTTTAATAATGACCAATATATTTCTTTTGTATTTTTTTTACATTTATTTATTTAGTGACTTTTATTATGATATGATAATGCCAGTCCCATCGTATTTTATTATCTAATCTTATCTTCTACTGTACAATGAAAACAAAAATTTGTCTGGCGATGATACAGGATCATTTCTTTTGTAATGCCATAATCTTATTTTCCTTGGATAAAATATTTTATTGGTACTATTTTTATAAGTTTCCCAATCTAAATTCATTAAAAAATTCTCAAGAATTTCCTCACATCGTATATTTAATTTTCTTCTTTTATTTCATTAGCTGCTATAGAGAGTCGAGGTGTCCAACCTTTGCTGGACATGCTACGGAACCTTGGTGGGTGGCCGGTCCTGGATGGGGAGTCATGGAACGACCGCTCATTCTCATGGGAGCAGTCAGTATACAAGTTCCGTGCTGCAGGTTACTCCGTCGATTATTTCCTCGATTTCTCCATCAGTGTTGACGTCAAGAACTCAACGAAAAGAACCATCGATGTAAGAATTAAAAGAAATTTATATGCTGATATTTAATATTTTAAACAAACAATACATTTGGTTGGCCGACCGTCAGAAATAATTTAAAACAATAAAAAAAAATTTAAAAATACATTATTTATCGCAAATGGCGAAATACATATTAGCCCAGCGAATATTTTAATGTTATGCTCACGCGAACTTCTGTTAATTGTTCGTAACGACCTAAATACCAACAGTTCATGTTTATCAACAGCTGGATCAAGCCTCCCTGGGCCTGAGTAGGGAGTATTTAAATCGTGGCTTCAGCGACAAATTGGTGCTAGCCTATTATGAGTACATGGTGGATATCGCAACTCTTTTGGGAGCTGATCGCACCCGTGCCGAAGTGGAACTCAAGGAGTCGTTAGAGTTCGAAATGAAACTAGCAAACGTAAGTTTTTTACTTATTTGAGAGGGACATCTTTCTCGATATGGCTGATCAGGCGTTTGAATAATGCTAGAATTTTATATACATAATTTAAGGGTATAACAGAAATATAGTATTTTGCCTATTATAAATCTAGATGACATGTGGCAAACGTATGTTATTAAATATTGAAAATTAACGATGCTACCATAATAAATTCTCGGGATCTAGCCTGGACTCTAATTTAAGATCATAATTATCTCTCAACTGAAACTCACATAAGGAATATACTTTTTATGAATTTTGTTGACTTGTAAGCATGTAAATCATGTAGTATTAGTGTTATGAAATCTAAGCTTTGTATACTGTTTGGGTATCTATCGATTTGTCATATTTGACCTAGTGATATCATGACATTGGCTGAACATACCAATCGAAAGGCATCATATTTATCAAATCAATTCGCGAAGATTGAACCATATTGCAGTAATAATCATCTGACAAGTATCAATACGCTACAATCAATGGCCATAAATCAGTAAAGTGGGTTTGTAGGACCCAATTGTATAAGGGTAAAAAGTATCGACACTTTTTTCAATGTCATTTCTGTTTAAATAAGTGTTTTTACATTATTACGTCACTGTATATTTATTCTTACAATTACTTATTGTAATAAGTATTAAAAAGTGTAGGTATTTATTAAAGTTACTAACAAAAATATCGAACATATCAATATTCATTTGCAAAAAAAGTTAATTCCAATATCTGAGCAATCTAGGTTTCATTCATTTGAAAGTGATCGAAATATGCTCGATGATTTATTTTTGTATATTTTGCGTTTTTTATGAGAGACCTCTGAAGAGGTCCTCCTATCTAGATAATGTATAAAATACAGTAGTTAACTTCTTTTTTGTACTACCTTTTTGCCTCGATTCAGTCAACGTATTTAAGATAAAAGATATTTTGACGTTACATTTATATAGGCTTTATTAATATATATAATATATTTAGTAACGTAACCTACCTACATTTGGGAAATATATAAATTCAGATTTTTGTTCGAAAATAAATTATAATAATTAATAAATAAAAAAGACATTCTCGTTATATAATCTATCCTCTTGCAATCAATCATTTCATTAAAATCTGTACAGCCGTTTAGTAGTAAAACAGTAACAGGCAGACAGATGCACTTTCGTATTTATAATAATAGTATGACTAAACTACAGCTCTATATACGAATACATACTTTCTCCTAGTTACCTACACTAATATAAAAATATCAATCAAACTCCTTACAATATTTATTATTTACATTTTTTAAATAGGTATAAACTTAAATTTTTACAACATTGAGCGTCCCCACATAATAGTATTTTTAGAGTCAGTAAATTATTTTATATTTATTTGTACTTGAATTTAATTAGTATAAATAACTCGCAGATCTCGTTGCCATTGGAGAAACGTCGCAACGCAACCAGTCTCTACAACCCGATGACCATCACACAGCTGCAGGAGAAGTTCCCCAAGTAAATATCTTTATAAATTTAGAAAGAAAGATGATATATGTATACATAAGTATATGAAATAATCAAATAAGTGAATTCTTTATATAATATTTCATATTCGTTATCTTTCCACCTAAATTTATTATATATGTTTAACATATAAAATCCATGTGTCACGTAGTTTTAATATTAACACTGGTATTGGTATCTATAAATAGAATAAAGCAGAGTCGCTGTTTTAGTCTAACTTTTCCTCCGTTTTCATCTTTTGAACCACCCGAAGAGTTTTGATATACTTTTTACTATTATTTCGAGATTTACAAACTTTGGTACTCGGTCATCCATTTATAGAATTGTTAAAGTATATAGATAATGATAAATTCAGTTATATAGATATTTTTGACATTACACCATCTTTATTTAAAAAAATGGTTGATTAGAACTTGTTAAACACCCACTAAACTTAATGTATGAACTGTTTATTTTTAGTATTCTTTTTATACGCGTTCTTTATATGTAAGGTCTTATCAATATATTAGTTGCATTAAGTTTGTCTATTATCATCTTTACATAGTATAAAATTAAGTCGATGTCGCTGTCGCTGTCTGTCCCTATATATGCTTAAATCTTTAAAACTACGGATTTTGAAACGGTTCATTTTTAATAGTTAGAGTCATTCTAGAGGTTTCTATGTATAATGCATGTACACCCGGGCAAAGCAGGGGTAAGCGAGTAGCTAGTTTCGTATAAAATATAATGAATTATTGTTTAGCGTTACTTCTCTAAACAAACTTGCATGTTTATATAAATTTTCTTTAGTAAACTGTGATTGGTAACGTACGTGGTTGGTAATAAATTTAAAAATATTTCATCTTATATCCTATTGTATATACATAATATGTTGTATTATTGTTTGTTAGTCCTAATAAATGTAAAAAAAATCCCCTTGGACCTACATTATATATTTGTAGTATGACCTACACATATAAGGTATACATGTTTGAATAATAAATGTATCATTTTAATCGCTCTATATTTGGAATTAAAATTTGTGACAATTTATTTTGCTACAACATAAATTACTTATAATAAATGTACAAATAGTACTCGTAATTACGCGAGCAGTGGCATGAAAGCTGATGTTATTTTCTATAGCCTTTTCATCAATTCATTTCATACAATTGTAACTTTTATAGGCAGATATATTTACCCTTCCTAATAGTTGTGGAATGATAGTATCCATGGGCTAACGTTAGTCCCTAAGGAGTATGTATAAGGAATACAGAAATAGGTTCAATTTGTTATCTAGTGTTAGTTATATGTATGTCTCTTATAAGGAAGGTGTTACATATGAATCTGGAGAGTATTAAGGGCAGAGGAAGGCCGAAAAAGAGATGGATGTACTGTGTGAAAGACGATATGGTAAGAAATGGAGTGAATAACGAGATGACTGCTACCAGGGATGAATGGAAGAGAAAACATATTACGCCGACCCAAAATAAATATTATAAGGAAGAAGCAGATGATGATGTTAGTGATATGTCTACTAGTTATTGTATCGTAAGTAAATTTCTTTATATTATTTTAATAGGATCCCGTGGTTGGAGTACATCAACCGTCTGCTGGCTCCACATGTTACAGTGACCCCAGATGAAATTGCTATAGTCAGCGTACCCAAATACATCACTGATCTTGAGGTTTGTATTATCATGTCCTCGATTCTATCTTATGTATTGGGAAAATTACTAATTCTCATTTATTAGGTTTGGTACCGTATGAATGATATTAGTCTCGTATATAAGTATATATATACGTATACAGTTCGCAGCATGTTTCAGCAGCTCTCGTAGCTGTTCTTCTGCAAAACTACAAGTATCACCAATAACATTCAATAAGAATTTAATGGCATTTTTAACATGGGTAGAAGGGGTTTTAACACGAATACTGCTATGGTAAATAAAAGCCAGCTTATTACCACGGCTTCTGCAACCTAGTCAAAACATCGAGAGAGGTAAATACCTATATGTATCATAAGATTATTCGTGTTAAAACCACTTAACTATATTAATAATGTATACCAAAAGCAAAAGCTTTTAAGTAAGAATTTAATGGCATTGAAATTGTATTGTTGTAGTAAAAGATATTGTAGTTACCGTTATATATAAAGTAAGCTCAGTTTTAACTTTAAACTATGTGTATACAGATTCTGCTCGAGAAGACACCGGCGCGTGTTCAAGCAAACTACGTGATGTGGCGTGTGGCCGGCGCTTCAGTGTCGTATCTGACTGATGAACTTCGCCGCAGACAACTGCAGTATATCACTGCACTGTCAGGGAAGACTGAACGCGAGAGCAGGTGGAAGGAGTGCGCTGATACAGCAAGTGTCAGGTTATTACCTATCTATTGACGGCCTCGATGGTTTAGCGGTTTAGCATATCGATTTACCTGTGCTTGCGGGTTCGATTCCTCGTATTATGCAAATATTTATATTGTCAATGTCGCTAAGCACAAATACTTTTCTTTCTGTCAACATAATCATTACATAGAAAATTATACTAGTAAAGATGAATTTCTGCTAATTGTTATTGTTACATATCATACATACATGCATTTGTTTCAGCAGTATGTCTATAGCTGTGGGAGCACTGTACATAAGAAAATATTTCAACGAAAAGTCCAAAGCTAATGCCCTAGAAATGGTTAATGATATCAGGTAAGCATATTTTAATAATTATAGATAAATATATATATATATATTCAAACTGCTATTGGAATATATATATTGATTACAGAGATAAATTAATTTCAAAGTAAATAAAAAAGTGTCAGTGTTTTTGCTCTCCTAAGCGGCTGATTCTCGAACTGTTTTAAAGAAACAACTTCCCACAATCAAAATCCTTTCAAGTTCATTATCTCATCGTTGCCTTGCATATATCCCATTATTTATACATATCTTCTTTAATACACTTCATCAATGTTTTCATCAGTCGTCGCCTCTCTTTACATCCATCGTATTTATATTATAATATCCCTTGCATAAATTAATACAATTTTTTTAACTTTAATATTCAACCATTCCATGTTTTAAGATCAAGTAAAGTGTCTATATATAAATATTAATTAATGTGTTACAGACAACAGTTCCGCAAGACGCTAACAGAAGTGGAATGGATGGATAAGAAGACTCGTCAAGAAGCCTTGGAGAAAGCAGATGCTATGGAGTCTCATATCGCATACCCGAGCGAAATGCTTGATGACAACAAATTGACAGAATTCTATGATAGCGTAAGTGGAACATCTATAATTATACGTATTATAAGTTTGATAGGGCATGGTACAGGTGACAGATTTACCGTCATTATAGCAATCATTCATTTTATAAAAATAAATAAAATAATTTATAATATAAAAATGTTAATAATCATGACTCTTCGATAAATTAGAAAAATTACATATTTTTATTTTTTTAATTTATAGCTGAACTTTAGGGGTTTTTTTACTAAACCACCTTAACTGTATTATAACAACTATAATGAAACAAAAAATCAAAACGGTCAAGCTCAGTGTTTGCGAGACTACTTCAATATGTCTCATCACCTTTTGGGAGAGATGTAGTAGTAACATACGTTGTGGTATATGTAGTCAAAATAACTTGCTTTTTGGCCTCGTATACTGCACGAAGTTGACAGACATGTTATTAAACAGACTTGGCATATTTATTGTAATACTAGCATAGTCATTTTCCAGTAGATAATAAAGTTTACTAAACTAATAACTAAAATATACTTGTATTGCAGCTGGAGATGTCATCTGATAAACTTATGGAGTCCGTTTTGAACCTAACACTCTTCGGTACCGAGTTCTTGTTCAGTAAATTGAGAGAACCCGTAAATAAAACTGACTGGATCACTCATGGCCGCCCAGCTATTGTAAACGCATTCTATTCTTCAATTGAAAACAGTATCCGTAAGTACAGTACAGCATTACATATAACCAAATATGCTAACCCAATAGAGTACCTACATCCTATTCGACCTCCCTTGTACTTTCTAGCTAAATAATTAAAATAGCAGCTCCAAAATATGTAATGTTCTCAGTTGTTGACAGTCCCGGGCTGTCTTCTATTCATAAGTATGATTTGTATGAGTCTTGATATCTCCTATGCACGTATTTAAAAAATATATACATTTAAGTATTTATATCAGTTGTCTAATATCCCTAAGCCAAGCTTGGTTAGGACAGACGGTGCTGTCTAAATTGACCAGGGTAACTATTATTATTCATTGCTCAGCAAATATATCTGTTGACATACTGCTGCAGTTGCAATAGTGTTTCGAAAAAGTTATTTATCAAACAATTCCAGAACCCATTGAATTATACACACATTTCATCGAAATCGGTCCAGCTGTTTACGAGGAGTTAGGTGATAAATACACATAGTGAAGAATTATTTAAGTAAATTATGATCTTAATATGGTTTTTACGTTATTACAGAATTCCCTGCTGGTATATTGCAAGGTGCTTTCTTCTCTGCAAAACGTCCGGCATATATGAACTACGGCGCTATTGGATTCGTTATTGGACACGAAATCACACATGGTTTCGATGACCAGGTATATGTGAATACATTCTAGACATAACATTACAACTGTTACATTGTGTAGTTAGAAGCATTGTCACCGTCAATGTCGTTCATGAATGAACGTAATTCATGACACGCCCACATTTAGCAGTGTTTAATTTTTAATCCATGCCAGGGGCGAGCCTACTGCAGTCTCTCGGAATCATTTTTGTTTAAATTTGTTTTCCTTCACTGGAAACTTAGAAAGAAAAATTATTTCACTGATTTGAACTCACGAATAATTTTTTGTTAATCGTAGTAAACTAATAGGTTATGATGCTCCTATTTACTAAATATCGTATAGGTATTATTTTCATATTTTATAATACATATATTTAGTACTTATGTTTTTTTGAATGTCTCATATTAATACACATGTATTCTTAACAGGGTCGACAATTTGACAAAAATGGCAATTTGGTTGATTGGTGGCAAGAAATGACGAAACAGAAGTATCTGGAGAAGGCTAAATGCATCATAGACCAATACTCGAACTACACCGTTAAAGAAGTTGGAATGAAGGTACTATTGTTTTAATTTAGATAGAATTGACACAAACGCAGAACAAATCGACAAAATGGTGATGGGAAATGCATTTAATTATTTTCAATAATATTTATTTTTAATAATCGGAACTATTTTTGATATTTATGGGCATAGGTAATTGAAAAGAAGTGCCGGCTGGTTCCGTATTATGTTTTTGTTAAGTTAATTAAACAAATGTTGTTTCATTTTGAATTGGACATATTTATATAATAAATTTTAAATCAAGTTTATTTGCACCTTAATTTCATGTCTTATGAAGACTTTTTTTGTGTAGTTATTAAATTAGTCCATTTGTGATTGCAGTTAAATGGCGTCAACACGCAAGGTGAGAACATAGCCGATAATGGTGGCATCAAAGAAGCCTACTACGCATATCAAGCGTGGACACAAAGGCACGGCGAAGAATCACGTCTGCCCGGTTTAGAGAAATTTTCACCAAGACAGGTATAAAATTTAATACAAACGTATGAATTAATTTTGCTGTTTTGAACATTGGACACGAGTAAAATAAATGAATACTAAATCTGTCTGATTTAATATACAACCACTACTGTTCTTTTTGGGTACCTAAATATAGGTTACATTTATAGTTTGATGTAAATATTATCGTTACAATCGTTAATTGCAGTTGTTCTGGCTGAGTGCTGCCAATACATGGTGCTCGGTGTACCGGAACGAAGCTATCAAGCTGCGCATTACCACTGGTTTCCATGCGCCTGGTCGCTTCCGCGTCGTTGGACCTTTATCGAACATGGAAGAATTTGCGTCCGACTTCAAGTGTCCGGCCGGGTCTCCTATGAACCCAATTAAAAAGTGCAAAGTGTGGTAGTATATCTACTACGCCGCCTTCTATTTGCCGTTCAATTGAACTCAGTTGGCAATCACACGCCAACGCGACCTGAGGATGCGACGGACTTACCTGGCGAGCTATTGACACAACTATTCAACAACACAAATAGTTTCCTGTTGTCAACTAAAAAAAACCACAATGACTTCTGAGGAAATATTAATTACTTACTAAAGTATTATTAACTATGTTTCTGTAATAGTGTTAATTATATATTAATAAACAAGCCAGCTGGTAGCTCGACAGCTGATATTATGCACAAATGGTTAGTGCATGTCTGTGAATGTCCTTTTGAATGTGTAGATGTCATCTGATGTTTTGGTGTTGTTTAAACTTGTAAATAAAATAGCTGAATTCCCTTTTACGGAAACTTTTGTATACATAAATGTGACACGCCGTGAGTATTGAAGTTCGTTTGGGGGAGATTTTAGACTGAACACCACATTTTTATACGACGGGTATACTTACATCTCATGTAGGTTTAAACAATTTGTACAATCATACCTACTTGTTACTTGTTTTTACACAAACATTTTGTACTTAATTCTTGTATTTTGTGCTATTTATTATATATCTACCATTGTTTTTAGAATACAGCTTATTGTTAAACAACGTTCAAATATTCACATTTTTAAATTTACAAATATAAACTAAATAAGTATGTAAGAAAAAAGGTAATAAATAATAATAATAGACGGTTTTTATACAAGGTTTAACTGATAATAAGAATTATTCGCATCTTTTTACCTAATTTGCCTCGGCTAAAGCCGTTTTTAAGCTTTCTATAAATTTTTCTAACATCAAGATTGCAAGTGTACTGGTCATAATTTTATCATGAATTAATCATGACATATACATATTTACGTGCGTAGGAAATTTACAAGTCAAGCCAGATTGCACTTGTAATTTTTCTCACGAAAGCTGTTTAAGGAATTAATTTACTATTTAAAACTACGGTAATTAATTATCACAACTTAATTTCGCATGATATTATTTTTATAGAAATGGGATATTTTTTATTCCAACTAATATCAAACTAAAAAATCTGTCGTCTTCTCATCGGTGTCACACTTCTGAAGTTTACAAAGGAAACAGAAGAAAAACCTTCAATAAAAACCTTTCCAGGAAATAACTCACCAATAAAATATTGTACATTGAAAGTGCAAACCATAAATACGTTTTCTATTCTCAATCTACCCGACTACGACGTGTGTTACTTAAACTTATTGTAATGTTAATGTTTGATTGTCACAAGTATTTGATATTTATTAAGCTGCGATAATGACTAACAGCTAACTCGCGGTTTTCATCGTCAAAGGTCAAAGAATCTGCTATCGAAAAATATTATCAAAATTAAATGTGCAATTCTAGAGATTAATTGAGTTTGTAAATACTACGAGTTAGCTGACATTATGATGAATTTATCTGTAACTGTAATCTCACGCCGTCTTATAAGAGAAAAGGCAGGGAAGACATTTTGTTAATACCTTCTTAACAGAAATGGCATTTCAAGCGAAAGTTACACTACATCTGTTCGCACCTAGACTTGCCAGTCGATCTTTGATCTGGCTACGCGAGTTGACCTGTATTTTGACTGTAGTGCTTACCGCTTACATGCTAAGACATGTTAGTGCATACATACACAGCCGGATTTACTACAAATACGTTAAAGTATTAACTTCTCATAATGACTAAAATAGTGACAAATGCTTACTGTCCTATCTCTATAAGACAAACCTACAGTGATAATTTAATTTTAGCATAAGTACCTAGTTAAGTATAACAGTTTTGGATACAATTGTATTGTTGTAAATCATTGAAACACCAATATAAGATCTTTTTATCAAACTGGATTGTTTTAGTTTACTCCTAGAAATATAACAAACCACAGTATGACTACTGCTGTTCACATTGAAATTTTATTACCTACCACTATAACAAAAAACAATTGCCTGGTTAATAATGAACATAATATACCTTATAAGCGTAGATAATATAAAACAACAATCTTTATTATTCGTATTCCTTTAATTGTCACAAAAAAATACATGATGTGAAACTGACTATAGATATTCTGAATATATGCATATTGGCTACTAAAAATAATATCAACGTATTTGAGGTAATCAGTCGCAATTAAAATAATAAAATCATACATAGATGCCTACAACATTTATACAGTACACGCCACACCAAATCTGAGATCCCCTATATGAAACGGAGCAAATGTAACTGTACACAATTACTCAGCCATCTGCATTCTAAAGATTATTTTTTAATCTTCTATCAATTTAATTTCTTTTGAACCTATACGACAATCCTAAAGCGATTGGGAAAATTTGCATTCATAAAAAGACACAAACAGGGGTTAGGATTAGGGTTATAAACAAGGGTTTATGTAAATATTCTAATTATGACAATGATATACATTGAAAGTAAATTAAATTCACATTTATAAAAATCTCGCCTATATATAATACACAGGTATTAAGTGATAACTTAAATAATCGTACTTAGGTTGAGTAATATCACTAAAAACATTTCTAAACATAGTAAATTTAATTTTAAGTAAGACATTTTTTTTAAATGTAATCTAAACAGAAATATGTTTATATGACTTTTAAGTTATACTTTTAATATTTGGATAGAATTGTGTATTTGAATACAAGATACTGAATTTTTTCACTGTAAGATACATTTATCTTATATTTTCAATAAAAACCATTTCATCTGAAATATCTTCGATTTCATTAAGAAAAAAGTATATTCAAGTCTTAGAATTTCAAAAGGATTATGCGTTTTGGTCCTACGCATTGGAATTTCTCTGGCTTACTTTTTTACCTAAGTTTAAGATTTCTATATCCAACGTTCAACAGTTTCGTTACGTGACGAGTGAGACAAGAAAACACCAAGACACCACACGCGGTATACATAATTTTATGGGAAGTAACACACACTTACATGACTGTCTAAATTAGAGCGATGAAAATCGCGATAGTAATCTGCCACTGTTCCGTCCTACTCGCATGGTTGCAAAGACTTTAGCAATAAACGCTCACGCTGAATAGGGTTATATCTTGAATCAGTTGGACTCGAAAATCTCGCCTCAAATTTCAATCATTCTCATAGAGCATACCTTTTTCTAATATCACAGGAAAAGCATATTAACGGGACTGGGACGTCATAATCTCATTATGAGAGTCACAAGAATAATTGGTTTAAAAGTATACATAGGTTAAAAAATAACAATAGCCAACCAACCTAATTTATAATTCTATCGTCAAACCATATTCGATTAATACAATGATTTTAAAATATCGTTAGATCTAGACAGAGTTGCCAACCTTAAAACATTTAGCCTCATATGAAGTACTTAAAAATCTCCTCTACGGTACGGTATGCTTGGATCTAGGACTACTTGATGCGTCGAAAATAACATTTATCATGTTTACATTTTTTAATATTGTTTGGAGATTTTTAGCTCACGTATACGATAATCCTATTGCATAACCACTTAAATATATATGTAGACTGACCGCAAATACCTAACCGCGCCTTGAGTATTGACACACTTATATAGGAAACATGATACACTACCGGACAGACCTTAGAATATCAGTATACAGTATCTGTGTATATTTATTAAGACAATATTATTATAATGTATGAATAATTTAATTCATATCTAAAAAGATATTTAAAATAAATTTGCAAAACTAAATTAATCTCGATAACAGAATGTTATGTATTGTATATTATATTGTATATACATATTGAATATTACGGAAGTTGTTGGAAAAACAGTGCTTGACTGAGTCGTAAACGACATAAAATATAAAACATACCTAATAAAGATTTGGTTATTTTATATATAATAAATTGATGAAAAGCAAGTTCACATTGGTAAGACATGTGTAACTAGGTACACAATTAACGGACAATACATGTAACATATATAATTGTTGTTGCATGTGACCAGTAATCCATTCACACTTATCATCCGCTTACCGTCTGTGCCACACCAGGTGTCAATATGACACTTATAAAAGAGTATTACTATGACCAAAAAGAGAACACACATGCGGATTTACATCCATAGTTTATAAATGTCCCTCGGTAGATGTATAATCGAATGCCTTAAATATAACATATCTAATATAATGAGTGTTATCTTCAGATTGTTTATATCTACACATGTAAAATATATGAATATAAGCTAGACGACAATATATATTACTCCAGACACAAAACCCAATGACAGCCGTATTATATTTCAATTTAAAATAAATATATTATAGCTATTCCTAGCCAAAAAAAATCGAAGACCATAAAAATAAAGTGCTCGAAACAATTAAAAACTCTATTCAGCATATGGTTGGATATAATTATATAATAATATAGAAGTACCATCCAGTACAGGCTTGACTAATACCTCATAGACGTCCATTAAAAACTATTTTTTAATACTTATAAGACAACCATTTTGTGCCCTTTTACATAGATAAAATAAAAATATACAAACCTGATCAGATGTACACACTTACAAAATTATTACCGTACACATTGATACTATATAATATTGATATGAGATAAAATAGAACACCTATTTATTTGTATATTAAACATTGCAGAAATATTAGGTTTATAAATCGTGAATAGTTTATCATATTAAAAATAATTCTGATCAGGTTTATGACATTTAACATTTCATTCATCTTTTTTACGACAAATCTGCATGTAATGTTTAGTCTTCTAAACTCGGCGGGTTATCATCCATGAATACAACGTGCGATTTCAAATATATTAAAAATGCCAACAATCGATCGTTTTCCGCATCCGAACCTCTGTAATAATGTGCAAAATATGTGTTATATTAACCAGTAATTAGTAAACTCTCTACATAATATTAGCTACAGATAATAAATTCTTACTCAACATCTATTTCTATCGCCAACACGGTATGATGTGGTTTTCCCTCCTCGTCGAACCATCTGGAAAGTATTAGTTTTAAATTGATTATTTATAGAAATATCAATAAATATTATAAATTTCCTTTTAATATTAACGTATTTAGTCAAAATTTTAAGTAAATTTAATACTACTTTTAACACATACATACCTAATGTATGTATCAAATCATAAAAAGTAGCCTGTCTTTCGTCACTCCACAAATGCTACATTTATGAATAATATAGTTAAATAAGGAAATTACAGATTGCTACTTCATAAATAACAGTTAAATATAGAAACTACAAAATAAAGAACGTAGGTTTAATATTATTAACTAAGAATTAAACAGGATTTACAATTCTATTTAAACTATGCTAAAATACATAATTAATTTGGTTACCATCCCTTTAATTTTTGGTGCTATAAATAGAATAGGCTAGGTTTAAATAATATAAGCACCTGGATGATCATGCATATTTTTTTTTTAATTTAATTTTTTTTTTTTCTTGTAATTGAGATAATACTGAGTATCATGTACCATGGTATATTAGCCAAACAAAAACCCTATCATCAATACCCGAAAGTAATATTATTTCGTAGCGTAACTGCATAACAAAACTAGCTGTTTCTCTGACAATTTGTTTAATTATGGGTTAGTTTGTTGCTTTGTTATTGTTTGTTATGTAATTGTTTAATCGAAATTGGTTAATTATTGGTATAAGAAACACAGAGGTAACTTAAAATGTATGTAAATATGTCAAGAATGCAGTCCGATAATAATTTAGTGCATAAAAGATCAATAATAGAATTGTAATGATATTTACATGTCGGCGAGTGGTGGCGAGATGCACGGTGCCGGTACTAGCGAGCGCGGTCGTCTCGCTACTCCACACTCGTTAGTAACTTGAGCGGAGCCCAAAGTCGAGCGGACAATGTGCCAGAAGGCGCGCTGAGCGGCACCCACACCATCGATGCGCTCGATACGCACCCACCCTAACACATTTTGTTTATATATATACGTTTCGTCGATGCAAAGCGACATGGCTATGGCCAAGTGGTCCACTACACTACACTATCTTACTCGATAGTGTAGTGTAGTGACGACTTGGCCACGACGCTGCGTATCGACAAAACATATAAGTATCCACATAAAGATAATAAATTAAAATTTTGGCTATATATTTTTTTAACTGACTTTTTAAGAAAACAACGATAATAAACTAAAAAATGAACCGAATCGGTAGATTGCTTACTGTATTATTTCCTTATTATATTCCAATATATTAGCCAAATATGAGGTAGTTTTTTGTTTTGTGGATAATAATGGAATGGTGCACCTGCCTGCGCTAACGGTTTACGCTGCCGGGGCAACAGAGGAGGATGATAAGATGTGCATGAAGTCAGGTCAGTTAGCCCATCCTGACAAATTCACCAGGAATTTAATACGATGGTTTCCAGGGGGAACTGCTTGGAGGTCGACCTGACATGGTACATTGCTAGCAATGAGGTTATCAATCCACATTACTAACAATCCCCTTCCCCCCTATGGGGTAGTTATGTCTTGCTCTCACCACGACGTCGACAATTCCCAGGTGGAGTAGCCAGAGGTATTTTAGGCCTCCGTCTACCCCACGCTGGGATAGCAACTGTGATTGATTATATTGTTAACCAGTTAGGAAAATTGTGGTATTCCACAAAACATTTTATTATTTTTTAACTATCAAGATCTCAAAAAATAGAAAAAAAATCACTGTACTAAAAAAATAGCATTCATAAATAAATTTATCTGTTCACTTGAATTCGGTGACAACATATCGGCGTCTACAACGACGATTTGTGTCATTATCAGTACATCACATTATTATTCTTCGTTTCGTTTCTTAGGACTTCTCAGCAAAAAATAATTCAAAAGAAATGCTTAATTCCCCATATCTGTCATAATTGAATTAGCCAGTATAACAATATATATATATATAATTGTAGAATATATAAAAATATATAAAATAAGAACATGTATTATAAACAGAATTACCAGCTAAAGGAGGTTGGGCATTGGGCTGGCAATTTGAACAGTAACATCGCACCTGGCCCCAAGACACCGCCTGTCGTAACTCCGGATATGGTAACACCAAAAAGTGCCAGAATTTTAAAACCAGGTGTAAATGTTCACAGCCTTCACCAAACGCCTCCCATTCTGCTTCTAAGCTATTACCATCACCAGCTTCTTGATCCAAACACAATATACGGTTGAGGTAATTTAAATTTTCTACTGATAATGGCTCTGACCAAAAGTCGTCACGTCGCGTTGATTCGTCTATAGAAGACGACTGCTCTTCAGTTAAATCCGGCAAGTTACCGGTCTCAAGGGTTAACGCATCCATAATCTCATTGTCTAGATTATCCACATCATTTGCCTCAGGGTACCGATCATTGTGTCGTCTATTTGTATCACAAAACCATTCGTCAACGACTAATTCCTCGCTTTCATCTTCATATCCAGAGCAAACACTGAGAGTTACGCACACTGCGTCCTTTACTTCCTTGGCTAGAATACTTTCGTCAGCAATACGAATAAAACCTTGAGTTGAATGACTTTTTTTGATTGGACGATTCACCGGTTGATTACTATTGGTAGGTACGGTATTGTTATCTGATATCACACTGTGATGCAAAGGCAAACGATTGGGTATACTTGCCCTTGCATCACAGTGACTGGGTATAAACTCTTCATAGGCGTCTACTTCATATACAGGAGTATTCGGTTGGATGTAGTGAGGATTCCTGCTCGGACCAGCTTGGATTATAATTGGGTCATATTCCTCATCAATAAGGTTATTTTGGCTATACGATTTTATTTTATATTTCGGCTGCAATTCTTCTGGCTCAGTGTCCACCAGATTCTCTTGTATATTAATATCCTCATCTACTTCTATTTCCTCCAAGGATTCCTCTCCAAGGTTTTCTGTTATAATTGGAAGATCGAGTGATGCACCGCTAACAACCACATATGGATGGAGTAATACCGAAATCTGAAAGTAAAAAAATATAAGAAATATTCTTATACTCTAAACATATACATTACTTATAATTAGGTGTCTTCTATGTAAAAGAAGAATTTTTAACCATTTGCGTTATTTAATAGTTATCAAGGACCTAAGTAACTAAAAACCTAAACTTAAATAATAACTAAAATTACCTGATTAACACGACCATAAAGATCTATTAGAGGAAATACATGAGCATGCCTTCTTGGCACAGAACCGATCACACCGATGATGGTACCGTCGATGTCGACCACCAACTCGCTGTTAAACCGGAAATGTATAGACAAAACCGATTGTTCGCCAAGTTCTTCAAACGCAGCTGCCATTTCACTATTCTTCTACATGAAATAAACAATTTTTACTAATTAATACAATTATTACTCTTATCCAAAAAAAATTAAGTTTGATGAAGACATTTATATAATTAATATTTGCATGCATATTTTCTGCACATTGTGAGACCCCACAAGGTGATTTGATTATTATGATTTTTAAATGCTTATAAGATGTTCTATGAGATGTTTACTAAAACTACTTTTGTCTTTTCACGTACTGGAGGCGGAAAATTATTCCAGCATGATGTAGGGGAGTCACTGAAAAGTCCGTTAATAACGCAGTTCTATGCTTTTGAGTAGTAAGAAATGAGAGCCCTCTTGGCTATTAATGAATTTGACGTGACCTCGACAACTTTTTGAATAGATACGGAGGTTTATTTATTTCTATTATTCCAGATAGAAGAATGGAAGACAGTAACTGATAATTTAATTAATATTAACAAACTATTACCGATTCAAAGCTAGTATGATCCAGACTCTATTTATTATAACTTAAGAGTTGTCAACTTTCGACAAAAAAGAACTACTTACAAATGTGCCGTTGTCCAGGATAAGGTCACTGGATACCACCCATATGGGTGGATCCATATGTATCGCACAAGGTGGAAGCGGTTCGGTAGGCAAGATACCTACTGCACCTAGAGAAACACTGCCGGCCCACTCTTCATCCACTTTATCTACGCGAAACTGTAAACAAAATTAATATAAATTAGGTTTTTTCGACATAAAGTGTAGAAGCTGGTGGGTCTCTTCAGAGTTCATGAATAATTGTAGACTAGTTTACTATATCACTTAAAAAAATACAAGCATACGATCTTAAATTTATATCGAAAAAATTAAGTTATTTACTTGAATGGTTCTGTTGAAGTAAAGTTATATAATTATATAATACTTGAAACTTTATAACCGGAATATTAGGTTGAAATGGGGTGTCCACTATTACCAAAGCCTAGGATCTTTGAATTTTTGTTAGTGCTGATGTGCTTACTATTATCAAAAACTACTACTATTATGAAAAACATACCATTTTAAAATGGTACGTTTTTCATTACATATTGTTATGGTCCAATTGAATCGAACCAACAAAAAAATATATACAGGTTCAAAGACGCGCGACAGCAAAATAATAAAATATCTTACGGTATAGAAAATAATCGCTCATTCCATAGAATAAGAAAAAAATCTAACAAAACCAGATTCTGCGAAAATCTTTTGCTAAAAGAGATATTAATTCGCAACAATACTTCAAAGAAATCACTTCAGTTACCTTATCTAAAAGAAGTTTTAAGTTAAATTAAATTTTGAATTTGAACATTTATGCAGTAAAAAAGAAATGCAAGTTAATTTTTACATACATTTTGGGTTTTACCCGCGTAAACAATGACTGATAATATCTGTATACTGTAAACACGTAAGTTTGCTTGTATGGATCAAGGAACGCATCAGCATATGTTTATCTATTATGGGGAAGCCATTATAACCAAAGTAGGAAGGTATAAATATATTAAATTTGGATACACTTATAACAATATGTAATTTAGAATAGTTCATATCAAAAATATTTATTGGTATTTAATGTGGACCAACTTTGTCTTTTCATTATGTATTTTGGATAAATAGTTTGAAAGTTACGACGATGATAATAAAAGCGCCGCGCACCGTTCTGAACGCAAGCAAGCATATAAACTTTGTCCTTCACAATACATGTAATTCGAATAAATAGTTTGAAAATTATGACGACGATAATAAAAACGCCGCGCATCGTTCTGAACGCAAGCAAGCTTATAAACTTTGTCCTTCACATGACATGTAATTCGAATAAATAGTTAAAAATTACTATGAGGGTAATAAAAACGCCGCGCATCGTTCTGAATGCAAGCAATGTTCATTTTGAGATTAGACACGTAACAAAGTTGGGAGGCCGAACAACAATTAATTCTTGGAAGGTTACTCATAATAGGCTGATTTGCAAAAATACATACTCAGACGAAGTCGCGAACAGACCCTAAGTACATAAATAGTTTAGAATTCGAGGATAAGCATTGTCTACATAATTATTAGAAAATTATGCGACGCATAGCAATAGCATAATGCGTATACGTATGACATTATTGGAATTAGGATTTCGATATCAACGCATAAATGTAATGATAAAACTCATGTCTCTGATTAAACATCCGTGCGTAATACGCTATTACAAGAAAGGATATTTTTTATATATACAAGATAAAAACGTCTTTATAAGTTAAGTTTTAAAGATATTTTATTTCCTTATGGATAACTTTTTATCTAGGTATATAAAGTTACGTAATTAGCAAACAAAATAATGTATATTTTAGTTCCAGAATTTTTTGAGATCTCTATAACAATATTTGTGTCAAGACTGATTGGATCGCTAGGCATTAATAATTTTATTATGGCAATTGGACGCACTAGTATATATTTATTTATCTAATAGTATTTGAAATGCAAAATACAAAATATCTATTCACATTTTATATATAAAGGATTTGTTTTGAAAAAGATTGTGTATTATATTTGAAAAACATTTTAAAACCCCATCATTTATTAGTCAACCTGAAAATACTGAGAGGATATATTGACTAGAGGTAAAAAAAAGTTTATAAGTCATAACAAGAAATAATCAGTGTTAATAATTTAAATTTACTACTGTAAATATAATACAGCCGAAACAAAGTACAATTAAATACAGAAGCAGATGACGTCCACCAGATGACGTCCTGGCTGATTAGAAGATCCAGTAATTTACAATCTTTATAAATAACAATAATTATTATAACCGTGTTTCTCAGGGAATCACAAAACATTGGTTGATTGGAAGAAATCCCGCTTACTTTATTTCTAATGACAATTGTATTATTTTATACTATACAAAGTGTATTACAAAAAATATGTTTTAACGTAATATGATTGTTATTTGACTTGTTTACTCACATTTATTTAGAGGTTACTGTAAAATATGTATACTGCATAATGTTGATCATTTAAATCGGTTTGACTGACAAACCGATGTCGCTATTAAATTTACTATTTGTTACTTACCCTAAAATTACGTCCTCTTCTCAGTGGTTGACTAACAATGGCAATACCATTTTTGTATCCAGTAGTTCGCATTGCAACTGTGTCTGTAATAGATATTTTTAACTATCAATATTCACTAACAAAACCGGCCAATAGATTTTTTTTGGGACCAACATAAGTTCAATTGAAAATTATTAATAACTTAGGTTTATTTTTGTAGATGTTAAATCGTATAATCTAATATACTTTACTAAAGAACACATTACTGAATTTAAGAAAAGGAAGTGGTTAGCCCAATGTTATTTCCCTTACATATTGATGCATAATATCGTCCGCAAAGCTGTAAAAGCCAGCTGTGGCCAACAGCATTAGAGTAGTCCAAGAAAAAAAGAAATTTAAGAGTAAATGTAGCAATGATTTATTGAAAATGTGCCAAAAAAACATAAGTATAATAATAAAAGTTTAAATTAGTAGTTTTACCTGAACTACATAACTTAATATTCTGTCCATGAATATAATGAAATGTGTATGGCAAGGGACGGCAGCGTCGTCTTGACTCTGTAGTGACGAGGTTTGCCGTGGATACTGTGTTGCCCTCTGTTTCTACTGTGGTCTCAGGTTCAGTAGCCGCCGCAGTAGTTTCAGGATTAGCATTGGTGTTTATATCATTACTGGATACTTCTATAGCAACTGTTTCTATTTCAGCTGTTACTTCAGCATTAACGGCTGATGGAGAATCCGCTGTTGTGGCACTAGCATTCATACAAATTGTAATTGGTGTCACTTTCTGACATTCATCGTTCGGGACTGCAAAACAATGGAAAAAATATAATTTATATTGTATATTATATAAACTTACCGCACAGCCTCAGTGGTCTAGCGGTTACCGACTCCTTACTTCCCACTGCCCGGGGTCAATTCCTCGCACGGTACAAACATTTGTATTAGTGACTATGACTGTTTGTATTGGTCTGGTGCCTTCTATATAAAATATGTATGTATAGATGAATAAAATGTATCTATATATTTATATTCGTTTTATAGTACCCATAACACAAACTCTGCTTAGCTTGCAACTAGATGGCGCTGTGTAAAGGCTTGTCTCTAGTCTAGTAGATATTGTTATTACTATTAATGTCGCATTTATTAAGATGTATCTGATGCAGATATCTGCAATACTTTATTACATATATCCGCATCAGATACATAGCCGAGCTAACAAAAAATATATAGATACGGGTAATTCGTACCTATATAACTTTTTTGTCCCCTCAAATATATTCCATATATACAGGCACCAGTTAGTTAAATATAAATTATATATCTAAGCATATATAAACTCACTCGTTGTAGGAAGTGCAGTTGCCGGATTGACCGCTCTGGATACGGCTTGGATTTTAGTCACTTGTCCAAATATATCCATAACCACATACACTTTCTGTAAAATATTATTAAAAATGTATTAACACTAATTATAAATAATAAATAAATGTATTTCCTCTTCCGTCTGGAATACGATTGCGTGTAGTCTCAACGTATGGTAAGGGATAACGGTCTGACATCTATCGATTCCTTCGAGCAAAAACATCTATTTTCCAAATTTTAATTCTTTAAAAAATATAATCTCGATTTTCTAGTGTCAAATATATATATTAGCTAAATAAAACACTAAATTTATTTAGCTAATATATACATTTGACACTCGTTAAATCGAGATTTGATTTTTTTTTAATGAATTAAAATTACAAACCTTATATTTACCGCGGTAAATATTTCGAAGGATCAGATATATAGCAGTGCAGAGTGCCAAAGTACCACGGGTGTCACATGACGAGTTAACGTCATAGTGTGTTTCATGTATATAGGCATACATCAAAAACTATTGTACATTAAATTCATTTCCTCAAGCTTTAAAATATAGCAAATTCATCTGAATTATATACAAAAAGAATTGTATATGTATTTTACTTACATCAGGAACTTTTTCGAATTCCATATCGAGTAATTCTGAATTGTAATAAATGAGAACTCGGGAATCGTTAGTCTTTTTAAAACCGATACGATCTCCGGAACGTAACCACTCAAAAGAAGGCGCGAAAGAATGGATATCTTGTTCACGGGTACCACTTCGTGAAATCTTCATATATTTTCCTGTAAACATTATATAATAGTAAAGTAGTTACAGTTTCATACAGTTTAAAACTTTTTTTTTTTTGCATCGAAAGATAAAGCAGCCTCTACACCACAACTGTCATCTAATACTGACATAATGAGGTTTTACAAAGAACGTTTTCTACATTTATATACTTTACCCACAATACTGTTATGTGCAAGTGTGTCTACCTATCTGTTTCTTGCCTATTAACATCTAAAGGGCTGAGTATAAATATTTACCTTCAATATAAGCCGTATAATGTGGCAAATAGCAGATAGACGGCGGCAAGCAGCGGTTCACGTGAGCGTTTAGTATGTTGACGTCGGTCACACCCATACGAAAACTGCCCGCGTAACCGTACTTACACTCCACTATTTTAATCTGCAAAATAATACATGAAAAATAAACTAACATAGAAGTAGTGAAAAATACTGAAATAGAGATGACTTTATAATTTTGGGCGTGCCCAGCTTCTGACTCACGGGTGGGGCAGGGGAGTACTAGCTTTCTTCAGGATAAGGGGCGAAGATGGGTCATATGTGAAACTTTTACCATACTTAGTTTTACATGGAACGCCTATGCTTGTGACTTAGGCAGATTAGATAGATTTCAGTATTAAACTACTCACCTCAAATATTTCACCAAGCGCTAGGTGAGCGGAACTAAAAACCAACGTTTCAAATGGTTCAGGAGTGCGCCGCCGTGCGATAGAATAATCATGCAATAGGCATATATTGTCGCCAGAGTATTCAGAGAAGCTCCTAAAACAGAAATATTGCGTAAAGTTTGTATTTATTTTTAATGTTGACAGTTGTTAATAATTTCTTAAAAAGCTAATAAATGGCCATTAGATCATGACTCACCAATATGGAGGAGGTGGTGACGGCAAAACCCTTGCATTATTCAACAAAGAATTATCTGAATTAATGCATCCGTTATAATTAAAAGCCCTCTCTTCGTTTTGCAGTATTGTGACCTGGCAAATAAATAAAACCATGATATTATATGTTCTTTCCTTTTATATCTAATTGTCTAACGTAGGATAAGTCATTGGTTAGTTAGCATTAGACTAGATTGTAGTATCTTAAAAAATCGACACATATGATGGTTTTAATAAATCAGTTAGGATGAAGTGCCAGGTGAAATGTAGATCCAAGTCCAAAGTAAGTGGTAAGTACCCCTATGTGGCTATGACTGTACTATTAGTTGAGAATAAATTGGTTATTGGATCACGTTTCTGAACATCGAATCGTGGATCTGCACACACAGATCTGAACCCGTCTATATATTAGGTATTGTCTCTCTTTTCGATCCGTAATGAACAGGCGGTTACTACCCTGGCAAGTTACCAGCTTTTTACTGAAATTATACTTCCTTGTTCATCGAATTTATAATGATACCAGAAATACGGATGTGCTCCTGATTTACTGTGTGATCGACAGCTATTACTTCATCTGAGTTCCCCTATTTCCGGACCATGATCGTGCTCTGTGTCTAATCTCCATTGTTTCCAACTTTCCGAATTATTCTACTCTCCGAGGTTATTTTTCCACAACTGTATCTTGCAATGTAGTATTCGAAGCACATGACGTACTCGCAACAGTTATTTGCCGAGTTACTGGAACTATGTCGTTGATCTGTTATGCTACTTTTGCTATTTCTGCCAAGCTCGTGTTCATTTGCGATGCGACTATGGTTTGTAGGTACATTATGACTGGCAAATTCTTGGAAAATTTCTGGTATATGTGGTTTCTATCGTCTAATTTGTCATGTATTAGTACTTGTCTAATCTTGTGTTGTTTAGATGCAGAAAGACATGGTATTAATTCTATTTTTATATTAACATAATTCAGTTCAGTTGAAAAATAGGACCACTATGTCGCTAACTTCAGCAGTGTGTTCCAGATGAAATAATACGTTTGTAATATAATTTTGTATTATTCGTCGTGATGTTAGAAAGAACCAATTTATCCTTACAACTGCGCAAAAAATAGCTCTGGATCGTTAGGATTAAATGCTGTACTTTATTCCGACTATGCGACTATATATATCCTTTTGGCAACCATCGTCTTCGTACTTGAGTTATATCAACAAATTCTTCCGAATATCGATGTTACTAATGTAGTGGTAAGTTGCCACAAACCCCTTGCTTAATCTATAAATAAGTAAGTGGTCAGTAGCAGCATACCACTACAACAATTTGACTGCTTTATCTAACTCTTCAGCTGAAACGCAGGTTACAAAAACAAGCTGCTTGATGCCTGAAATAGGTGAAACTGATGTATCCAAGCAGACGACTATTTACAGCTGTTGTCTCATTAAATAGTTTAACTCATATTGATAGATTAATAATAAAAATCATACAAATTAGTAATTAAAATATATATGCACTGACCTGAGTACACTGTCCGTAGAGATCAACCACAGCGTAGATATTAAGATGTGGCACATACCATGCCTTGCCCATATCCATACCATCGAGGTAGTAGTGTAAACTTCGGTCTGCATGCCACATCATACCTGTACATAGTAATATCTATGCCTATAGTCTGTAGAGACTTTAATATTAGTCTAAATTAATGTATTTCTTCTTATTTGTAATGCAATAGATAAAAACTTAAGTAAATAAAGTAACACAACAACATTATCAGAATATGACATAAAATGCATTTTATTTACACATTTATTTACATTTAAGTATCCTTATTTATTTCACTAGTAAAAAGTTGGAGTAAATTGTAAATATTGTTGACGGTATCGGTGGTTCAGCGGTTTAATGCACCACCTTACTTCGGATGGTCACAGACTCGATTCCTCGCACAATACAAACTTGTCTATTTACGACATTAATTATTTGTATTTGTATGAGTCTTTTCTAAGTATAGTGTATATGTATTTAAATAAGTATTTTTCGTCTATCAGTTTATTAGTACCCATAACACAAGCTCCGCTTTGCTCTTAAACTTTGCTTTTAAACTGTACTGTCTGAATTGTACAGGGATAATATTATTGTACAAAATAGAGAAGTAAAAGACCAGAAATTGTAAAATAAGTCATTGGTGAAACCACAATATATATTGAAGTACCATAAATCCTCTCTGTAGTAAAATTTCATTCTAAAATTGTTGCTGAACTTACTTAAGCCGAGATTACATAAATAAATTGCTCACCAACTCGGCTACCAACTGTGAGAGTGTCGAGATCGAGGGGATAGCCACTACGAACGCACTCCCCATCTTTCATCATGGCTGCCCCGCTCAATATGTAAGTATCCCAGCTCAGATCTGTTGCGGTACCGGCTATCAGACCTACGCCGCCGTTTGTTTCCAAATCATCTGGTCTAATCGCCGTAACACCTGTTTATATGATTACACGATACATACAATAGAAAATTATTTACGAAATAAAGAACAGACTTTATTACATATTATAGTTAACTCATATTTTATATATATCTTCTTACGAGAACATTATCATTAATTATACCAACTTTATAATAACTAAATTCATTTTCTTTCTACGTACCTATTCATTTATTATATTATATTTCTTAGACATATTATTGAAAAAAATAAAATATTAAAGCTTTATACAAGCTGAAGGTAAGTAGTAATCGTCGCCTATATATATCGGACATCATGTTAACATTTTACAACCCTGATTACGCACATGAGCTACCATTTCCGGAAAACTAATGTCTTGCCTCTTATCCTGTAATTTCACTGTCTGCTTGGCGTCTGAAATATATATATATGCTCATGACAAGACGTGGTACGCGCTGAAACATAAGTGGGTCATACATACCAATCTCAAGACTCCCGATCCAGCAATCCACCATCTTGTCTATACGCAGTTCGAACATATCGCACTCGCGAAGTGGTCTAGAGCTGAAGAGCACGGCATCGTTGAACTCCGAGTAGACAGTCGCTCGCGATGCAGTTAAACGGCTACGACTCAGACGAGCATTATGCCCGTGGACGCGGTGGAAACACATTTCACTGCGTACATAATAAACATCTTTAGCTGACTTTACACGACATATTAATTTCACGCGCGATTAGGAACGCGCCCGATTTAGCGCGCGCAATAGTGGAGATTGCATTGAACTATTTTAAGTTTACACTCACTCGCCCGCGTTGCGCTTAATATTCATGTCATTTCAGTCTCTTTTATATTTATTTTACATACTTCATTTTCCAGAGACACGCTTCATAGTCAGATACCGCATTTCGCGATCATAATTATTTATTAAAAAAATACGCACACGCAAAGGCGTTAAAATACGCACGGTCGAATACGCCAAGTAGCGGAACGCGTGGCCTTGCTCATTCTCTTTATTTACAGGCACTTTCTTTTCATCTCCTATATACGTATGAAAGTATGCACATCTAAAGGCAATTATTGGGTCGATTGTTAAGATTAGGCACATTACGGATGAACTGTGCTGACGACACCCTTCAATAGGAGGAAGTGGGTGGTATAGCTAATACGACAATCGGCTTGACCCGTGAAACTATTACCGGAAATATATTTGACCAGAATAATACAAGTCGGCCTTTTACCCGAATGCCTGATAGATTTCTATGTAACTGGAATAATAAACAATACAAAACAGAATATCCTGGAAGGTGTTGTCAGTCTTTTTCATCTGTCGACATCGTGACTACAATATTTGACGTGACCACTCTTCGCTCAGTATATTTTATTTCTACGAGGCGAGCCTACGCCGTTTCTAAGATTAGTTTGGTTGGTTACTTTTGAATTACTGCTCTCATCTTAGGTTAACATTAACGAAATTAAATCATTTCACTTACGGATATATAGTAGCGTTGGATTCGGTAGATAAAGGTGATTCAGGTGACAGCGCTGGTGGAGGTAAATAACTGGTTACAATTGTCGCTTGTGCTACTCGACCATACAGATCTGCAAAAATAGAGATTACAGTACAATTAATATTACATTACGTAACCGCAAGAATCTACTTGTTTTTTTTTTATTTAATACAAAATATTAGAACTTACCAATAATACCAAAAACATGTTCAGGTATATTAAAAGCAGCTGGACCCTGATCTATGCCGTTTACATAAAAATGTAAAATACCCATGTCTCTTCGCATCACCCCCACTGTATCCCCTTCCTAAAACGATACATTTAAACATATTAATAAAAAAAGACAACATAATAAAAACCAGACAATATATATTTTGTACAAGTAAATAATCAAAGTTAAGAATATAAAATAAGGTATCATACCACCAATCTATTTAAATTTCTGACGTATTGTGGAATGATTATGGTTCCATCCCGTATGACATCTTCTCCGGTCATTGCCCAAGTGCCGGATCTAAACATTTTATATAGGTATAAACGTATGATAATCACAATACTTAGGTTTCATATAAAATGATATCACAATATACTTTATATTGGTGAGTTGCAGTTGATATGTACCTTTTTTAAATATGTCGTCGTCGGCCTTTGACTTTACCTCACTAATATTTTTTATGTTGCACGTACTATACGTGACAGAAAATATATCTATATTATAATATTTTCCTAAAGAATCCAGCTATGTTTAAAAACTACAAAAAGAATTATGACTGCAGATATAGCTAAGATTTTGTCGAATATTCAAACCGAATAAAACAGTCAGTTGAAAAATTGATAAATAGGCCCTTTTAAAATCGGTGAAAAATGGATATTATTATTTCTTAACTCACTTCGCATTGCTCATTTTGTATGGTAATTTTATATCATTTGAAGAATTCTGCGTGACCCCAATTTCTATGCTTCCAGCCCACTTCGGAATAACGAGATCAAGCCGCACTTGGAAAAGTTCGTTGGTCCTTAATGTGCGATTAGTCATTACTATCCCGTTATTGAAGTATTCGAAAGCGCTGCAACATAATACAATATTATGGAAAATTTTTAAAAATGCTTTATACTCATATCTACATTCTATTAAATTAATAATAATACTAGTCTACCGTTATTATAATTGGAAAATTTAAGAAACCCAGTGGGGCGCTAGATGGAAGTCTGTTTATTATGTCATCGTTTCAAATGGCTAAATTGATTGAGCGGAGCGCGAAGCGCGGGGCGATCTCACAGGTCACATTGCACGATACTCCATCTAACCGACTAGGGCGATTGAGAACTTAATTATATCGAAGGTCGATCATCGGAGCTCCATCGTTTACCACTCAAAAAAATCCGATCGGTCATACATACATCAGTGATAATTGAGGAATAATCGGTGATAAAGGTTGCCATAGACTTAGCATGGCGGAAAAAACACTTAACTTACGTAATTTAATTAATAATTTTTTTTTTTAAGCACAAACGCGCTCCGCTCATCTTGTGATCTGGCGTGTAAACAACACATCGGTAACAAAGCTAGTTTTATATATGGCTCAACATACAATATTTAAAATACAATGTAATAAAAATTCTATAACTTAAGGGGTCACACAGGGGTCCTGGGAGATCGCTTAAAATGATCAGATGTGCTGACAACAACTGCAACATATTACTGAAGTAAACTTTGTAAAACTGTAAACTGTGTGGATACCCCACTTTCAAAATTTAGCTAGTTTTGCAAGCTGTGTCTTGGTTGAAAGGGGGAGATGTATGTAATGGAAGCCTGAGTTAATAAATAAATAAATTACGGGCGATCTCCGATAACGTGATGACTGTGGTGTTATTGTATATGGGCCGTCAGCATATTTATTAATCTAATTACATAAAAAAACACACAGTCTTTGTAATATATACATGATATATATACGCATGTCATTTTTATTCTTTTTAATTTAACTTTTTAACTTTATAGTTGCCTAGTACTATTAAGCTGTAATATTTCATGTGACGTACTAATTTGGATACATTATCTCATATATATATAGTCATATGCATATACAATCTGTAATAGAGCTTATATTATAAAAAAAAACATATTATATAAAGAATACTCACTTAGGCCTATGAGCAGTCTTACCATGGTTAATAATAATAACATTCGAATCACGCAGCGAATGAAATAAAAGGCTCTCTTCGTCTATTGCAGGTCTAAATCTATCTGCAATTACCAGATAATGTTTTGATTACTTTTTTTGTTATAAATGAAGAGCATTACATAATTAATTAAAATAGTTAATTGATCTAACAAATCTAAAATTATATTTCAATTCATTATTATTTATTATATACTAGCTATTCCCGCGACATAGTCCGCGTGGAATATAGCATTATTTTTCTAAAATAAAGGTAGCCTAAGTTACTCATTATTACATCAGCTACCTGCCAAAAATCTCGTCAAAATCGGTGCAGCAATTTCAGAGATTAGCCGGAACAAACAGACAGACAAAAATTGTAATAAATGTTACTTTGGTGTATGTACCGTATTTATATTCATAGGCATGTAGTAAAAAAACGGTTATTTCAATATTACAAACAGACTCCAATTTTATTTATATGTATAGATAATTAATAGTACTAACTAGACGCTGGAGGGTCCGGACTGTTTGTCAGGATCGGTAAGTCATTAATATTGCTGTCCATGTCTTCACATGGATCTACAATCGTGACCTGTAAAAAATGAAGTAAATTTAATAATACAAAATTGTGAATATAAAATAAATAATATAACGAACACTAGAAATTCAATATATTACAATAAATCGAGCAAACTAACAACACTAAAAATATAATAAATTTTTAAATAAATACATAAGTACTGATATTACTATTCTACTCGTTTTACATAAATGTCTATATTAGCGCTAAATATAGGAAGCTCATATAAACAATAATATCATTATAAATATTCCATATAGTTCATATATTATATATTTTTTTGTTTACATAACCTTGTTATAAACCAGAATAATAAAACTTTAATAATAATTTATTTTATTTTTCAGTACATAATATATAATTATTATTGTACATAAAGTATAAAAACAAAGATCATCATCATCATATCAGCTCAACATAGATAGCTCAATAGATAGATGAATGTTTTAAAAATACAATAATAATTACATGTATGATGTGTGAAGATAAAGCAATACAAACCCTGACAGTCATGCCGTACAAGTCGACAACACCCCAGACTGGCTGCTCTACTTTATCAGCAGCAACACCCTGATCTACGCCATTAATAAAATAATGCAATTTCCCATTACTTTTTCTCATCATCCCCACCGTATCGCCTTCCTGCAATATTTTATTACAATTTTATTTATTATTTACCAATGAAAAATTGGCCATAGTTGTTCATACTCAGACGATTTTACTCATAGGATTTTAATTTAATACTAGATATAGACGTCTATATAAATAAGCCCACAATCTAAATACACTGGATTCCAAAAAAATCCATTCAGTTTCTTGCCAGTTCCTCTGAATTGAATCAGTATACTTAACGGGACGGTAGGAAAAAATGTTAATACAAAAAACTTGACATTCATAAGTGGCTATAAATTCCTACTGGATTAAATTATATTTGATTTGATTGAGCAGTCAATACTTTTAATTAGTAAAACATATTCAATAAAATATATATTATTAGTAATATAACAAAACACAAATTACAAAATAAAAATGATTAAAAACATACTCGAAGTTCATCAAGGTTGAAATTTCCATACTCCATACAAGTACCGTGACCATTCAATAACACCTTGCAACCAGACATCATGATTGTCCCCGAATCCATGTTGGTCATTGTCGATGGAAATCTTATTGTAGCTGGATTGTGCGTCGTTACACCGACCTATGTTCACAAAAATATTACAACATTATATAATTTCTAGTGAAATTATTATATATTACTAGATGACCCGCGCAACTTAGTCTTTATCATACTTGACATTTATCATTATATTTTGCCCGATTTACATAATTTCTTTTGAAATTATAGCCTATGGGTTATTCTGGTGTATAAGTTATATCACAGTAAAGTTTCTTCAAAATCCGTTCAGTAGTAGTAGTAGTAATAACATCAATATCAATATCTTACTAATATTATACACGCGAAAGTGAGTGTGGATTTTTACTCGAAAAACTACTGAACAGATCGTGAATAATATCATTTTCAATTTAGAACCTTCACTAAACCGTCGATTGTAGTTCAAGTTTTACATAACGGCGCGGAGAATATAATGCTATTACACATTATATTAAGTTGAGCATTAACACGCGAGTCTCGAGCCGTTCTTCTAATCATAATGTATCGATAAATCCCTGATCGCTCGTACTATAAACTGGACGAGCGTCGCTCGCACTGTCTCGCAGTTAACTCAATTTACTACTTTAACGAGTCCTGCTCGTCTCGTTGGTCAATTAACCTTTCTCACACCAAACGTATTTTATACGGACTAAAGTGACTCTACAATGACAGAGTAAATTTTATATATGAACACCAGCTAACCCCGCAAACTTTGTTTTGCCATATAAATTACAATCGCTATTAAAAAATATGGATTGATGGTAGAAGGGTAAAAATTTGGAGTTATATGTATTTTGTAATGGCAATTATAAAAAACTAAATTATATTTTTTATAAAAATAATACTGAGAGTGGACAACCCTTATCACTTAGGGGTATGAACAATAGATAGTAGCTGATGGAAACTTACTGAATATGCATATAAAAATCAGTCGAGCCCTTTCGGAGGAGTATGGTAAATAAGATTGTGACATGAGTATTTTATATATTAGCATTTCAATTTGGATCTTGCAACATAATATATGATCACTTAAGAGAGTAACTATACAGTGCCTAACATACTTTAATATGAATCAATTCTTTAAATATTATGATCGACAAAAATATATTTCTGTCTCTGGATAGAACTACTGTGAAACATGTCATAATTGCCTATCAGACAGAGTAGTGTCGGTTTTTTAATAGTCTATAAATACCTCTATACTACCACTCCATTTATCAACCAATGTATCGATACGTATTTCGAAGAGTTCATTATCATAAAGAGGTCGATGCGTCATGACCACGCCATTATTGTAATCGTCGAGAGGGCGCGCTCGCTCTGCCGACCTGTAATATCATCCCATATTATTACAAATATAGACAAATTTCATACAAATCTAAATTAATTACTAAAGAAAGCGAGCACTACGTACTTATTGTTACCAGACAGTTTGACTAGAATACCGCATCTTGGATGAAAACGTAAACGATCTTGAGCAACTGTATAAGAAACGATTAAATCATTATTATCATTAAAAACCACTGTTATTGCTACCATTAAAGATCAGTATTTTTTTTAATTACCGAGCGCACATGCTGCTTCAGACGTCATAGGAATAAAGACATCTCGAGTTCCCTTAGGATATGGATCAGTGGAAAGTCCAGCTTCAATTTCACTTGATGTTAAAGTATCATCATTGTTTGGATCCTCATCAATCTGTAATAAAAATATTACAAATTACATACGCAGCAAATCATGTTAATTGTCAATTACGTTTTTTGTTTATAACAATTTTTGTTTTAGAACAAGTGTACTTTTATTTTTTTAGTAAATTGGTATATTTTTCACTTAATTTCCATTAATACCTTTAGGTCTAGTAACACCTACAATGTAATAATATGTATGTACTTTATTTTAATAATACTTTAAAGAGCAATTAGACATATGTTATAATAACTGTTAGAAACTATTAATTAATTAATGATAAGGAAATCAATGAAATCAAAATAATCAATAATGTAATAAAGAACATACCTGATCTAAACTACTCTCCATAATTGGTCTCATTGCATTACAATGTGTTATGGAAACTTGCACACACTGGCCATATAAATCTATCACAGCAAATATTCTTGGTGGCATGTCTTTTGCTGCAATGCCAAGACACCGTCCATTGACGTAAAACATTAATTCATCCTGCAGAGTACAATATATTTCAATAAATACAAATAGGTAATTATTATACAACTCAGAATGACTAACAATATAAGTTGCTACAACTGATGCCATTGACTAAACAACAAACACTTATACTTTAACACGACTTCGAAACTATGCTGCTTGGCGACAAAAATAGATGAGACAGACATACCCATGCAACAATCTTTGTATAAATAGTTAACCTTAAACATCTATTTATGAATCTACATAGCCTGCCAAACAAATGATTTGTTAAGTGACAATGTAATTGAGAATCCCTAATATCATCATCTTTGCCGTGCTTAAATCCCATAATTTTTGACGCAGTATATCCTTCTTACACTGATCAATATCAGCTGTCAAATCTGAGCTGACTCTCCTTTTATACTCTCTTCATAATAAGATATAATAATTAAAACAACTATAACAAACCTTAGTAGTTCTCATAACGCCTAAGGTATCCCCTTCCCGTAGCGAGTCTAACTCGGGCCCATAAGAGTTGACTAGAGTAACACCATCTTTAATTATTGCACTACCTGACATTATCTAAAAATAAATTAACATAAATTGGATTAATGTTTGCGAAATATAATAATATAAGAAAAATATAAATATAAGTAAGGATTACGTACATATTCTATTCAGTACCAGATTAAGCAAATTCTTTCAAACCGACAAAGAAAGGATCTTATGTTTTAAAAAGCCATGATTGCAATTGACGTAATTTTTACTTAATTTAGGCTTTGTACCAACTAAAAAAAATACTTGAAGGTTAAAAAATGTTTTGTTGTATTATATTCAGACATGAGTGAGTTAGCGAGACCCTCAGTGCACTGAGGCAGTAGTATTTTCTACTCTTGCTAACATGCTAATCCAGCACCTATTATATTAATGCGCTTCTCAATTAATTTACATTTTACTATTCATAAGTAATACATATTTACTATTCATCAGGAAACTATAATGATTTTTGCAATCATAGTTACACAATCAAATATGGAAATATTATTGTCATTTATTTAAGTATTGTATCTGGTAAGTTTTTATACTATTCACATTACAAAATGATAGTTCATTAAATTTAACATATGTATTATTTGAGTTGACTTTGTATTCCATTATTGGAATTTTTGGTTTAATTGACCGTGATAATCCAGATTCTATAGTAGTAGCCAACATTCATCCTTTAAGAAAATAAATTATTACCCATGCTGTATTACGTAGTTTAGTTGCTGTCGCTGGAAGCTCCATATATTCAGGATCCAATGTCGTAACACCAATTTCAAGAGACCCATTCCATACATTTACCTACCAAAAATATTATAAATAAGTTATGTGATGGCACAGTTTAATGAATTACCTTGTGAATTGAACTGCTTTTATACTATCACTTATTGTATTAGTATTGAAACATTGATATTCATGCCTTGTACACACACATGAATTATGCAATGTACACATTAATTCAGAATAATTTTGCTCTACAAGCTATATACTAAAAAATGATAAAGAAATAAGTATGTGAGAACAATAAAGTGGTTTATGATGTTACTTATATAATATGTGATGCAGTTGAAAGGAGTATAGCAAGATGAATGTGTAGAATTTGAAGATTACAGAAAATAAAAGAGCAACTAAAAAAAACTTCAAAATGCTAGTTGCAATTGGTAGTATGAGAATAATATTCACTCTATATGAGAATGTTATGAGAACCATAGTGTTAAATGAATGCAAAATCTGAAAGTAAATAGAGACAAAGGAAGAGATACATTTCACACACAAAAGAATGGTTCAATATCATGTAAAAGTGTATGGATTCTTAAGTAATTATTAAGTGACTTCACTAAATTAATTAAAGTGTTATTGCATGTATAATTGGTTACAATCAAATAAGTAATTTATCTATATACTATTAAGATCAGAATGGGATACCGAAACATTTTGTGCTTTCTTCCAAAATATTTAGAGGCCTAAAAGGTCAGGATAATGGTGTTTAAACAATTTATTATATTGTCAACAGCAAAACAAAATAATTATAATATTAAATTTGAATATTTTTATAATACTTCACAAAATATTTTATTTCATAAAAATTTACATATTTTTTGTGAATCTTGTAGTAAAATGATGATTAATATAATTAAAGCGGCTATATCTCTTCCTAGGTGTGTGTTAACATAAATAAATTAAGGTCAATCAATAATTTAGGTCTTTATACACCTTTTTGGAAACAAAGAAAAATCAATGTTAAGCCAAACTGAGTGTAAAGCTTTACATACCTTTCTGTCTATGCATATTTCAAATAAAACATCATCTGTAAGAGGGTCGGCGCTTAGAATTAGACCATGATTAAATTCAACAAAATTCCGTATGGCTGTGGAATTATTGTTGAAGAGAGTAACTCTTTCCCCGCACCTCCGGTGAAATCGCATTTTTTTCAGATAATATATAAAAATATATATAACTTTTACTTCTATAACATTTACAAACTTGTGTATAATATCATAATTAAAATTTTTCTGTCAGACATCATTATTCGCACTATTTACACTTTGGATTTTGGATAGAGCAACTTAACACCCATTACGAACTTTATTTTTAATAAACAAAGACCCTTAAATAATAATGAATTAACATCTATATTTAATATCATAATAAAGCAACATAATAAGCATTTTAAGTAATTATCATTTATAAGGAGACTAGAAATTATATAGAAGCTAGTTTTTCTACAGCATTGCTTGCAGTAGAGTAGTGGCGAATGAGATAAAAACGATTATCAGTCGATTTTGTTCAACAGTTCAACATCGACAGCACAGAGTATTATTAAATTCTAGAAATTGACATATGATACTTTGGGTGACACTGAATGACAGCCATTTGACAATTCTGTAGACCAAAATAGAGATGTGAATAATCAATGGTAAAATTAATGTTTCTTATTATTTTTTTTCTATTTCATTAATCATTTTTAATATTCCAATATTTCATTGACAATTAATTATCCATAAGAGCCAGTCATAGTCTGTACTTTCGACCAAGGGTGTAAACATATTGTGGTCTAGCGAACTGTTTTAAAAAATTAGTTCTATTTTGCAAAAACTAAGAGGTAAGTACTATATATCTCTATAGATATATATATGAAAACTCTGTTGTATAAATTTAGATTCAGTATCAAAATGTAATCTAGAACAATTTAAACACATGGTAAACAAAATTATTATATAGAAACAAATTCTCATATGAAACTGAATACTGGGAAATAGGGTACTAAAATAGTATATTTAAATTTTTATTCGCATTATTATTAATCATGTTAATAACAATGCGATGTAATATATCATATTAATATATAATCATAATAATATCATATTATTTATTTGATTTGATAGTATCCGAAAGGTACGTGTAGTTATATCTGGTAGGTATACCTACTAGATATAACTACCTACCGTACCTTTTGGGCCAGATCGTGCTTTTTACAGCCTGTATATAATTGTAAACAATCACGAAATTAATTTCAAACATTTCGGTTCTGTTGATCATATTTAATAAAAAAATGTAATTAACATAAATCAGAGAAGGGATTTATTATTAGTTCATTAGTAATTAATAATGTTTTAGAAATTATTTTGTATTTAAAATTACAACATTGGAAAATAATTGATTGCTCATAAGATGGGTTTAAAAAAATACAATTAGGAACATTAATACATTTTTATACTAAAAAATAATCTATTAATACGTTTATTATTAATGACTATTAATGACTTTTAACTGTAATTAATGTCTCATCCCTAGGGCAAGGAAATGCTACGTCATGGATTGACAGCCACAATATCTATGACATTTCGCCTAATAGAGTTAGTAATAGTGATACTTTGCTGATTGACTCAGTGTTACTAGAAATAATATTTATGTCATCAGTAGAGAATAAGATGAGCCGAAGTCTAGATTTTTAGCTTATTGTAATAAATTTACCATAAAAAAACACGATATTTTCCAGAAGGAATCTTATATCAACTATAGCTAATATCAACATATTAATATTGAAAATGTTAGAGGGATGGAGGGAATAGTCAATAATGCGGACTGATGATCCTACTGTTAATAATGTACCATGTCAGCCTTGGTATCATGCGAAACAAAAAAATATTTCCATGATAATAAAAAATAAAAATACTATTTTAATGTAGTATTCTGATATGTAGAATATCTGAAACCCAGAAACTTAGGAGTTATACCTAGCTTTTCTCTGTACTAATACAATTTTGGTAATAAGATTATAAACTATGTAGCTTGTATATATATTATATATTAGTTTAACAGTTGTGGTTAACTCCTTTTTTATATGTGGTTAACACCCGGAGTAACAATGAAACAAAAAACTCAATTAGATTAAAAAAAAAACAATTATATAATAGTTCTATTATAATATATATTCCATATAATCGGCAGTCCCTAATCTTTGTATTAAACTTGAGATAATGTAAAAATAATGAAGTAATATTTTTATAGTGTGACAGAAGGATGAGGTGTTGTTTATAAAACAACAGTAACAAAACTAGGGGCGTAAATACTACCGTAACTGCCGTATCAATTGCACGGGGCCCCTTAACGTACTTAAACAAAAATTAACTTACCAAATTTGTTTTTTATTCACAAATGATAAAAGTCATAAAAAGCAATAGTATTTTACCCGCATCAGCTATAAATGATTTAATAAATCAGTTTGCCAAAAAAAGGATAGGAGAGTGTATAATAATAGTTGTGTAAGTAAATAAATAAATATTCAATTTTAATTGTTTGTAAAAATATTTGGAAAAGTGGTAGATAGATAATTATGAAGAATAAATATTTATTTTAATTTTATACAAATTTTTTCTTTTGTAAGAAATCTTTACCATTCGTAAGGGCTCCCAAACAAACAAGGCCCGGCCAAGGCACGCTATGCTTCTGAATTAAACGTTCATGTATGAATAAAAAAAAAATAAGTACACCTCATTTATGATGACATTAATTTTTGGTAATTAACATAAAACATAAACATAATATGAAAGTAGTATCTTCTCTTGTAGAGAAAGATTCAAGACATCACTTATTTTATGATCAATGAAATATGTATGACTAAGTTGTGCTAACATACAGCATGATCGCTTACCTGCTAATTTGATATTTGATATTTCCAGTGAAGATGGTGACCTAAAAATAACCGAAAATAATCATTTATTTTCCGATGGTCGATTTTTATATATGTAAGCCAGATAACTATTTTAGACACTTTTCAAACTGATCATATATACATGGCCAGACCCAATTGTAATCTCTCAGTATGGCACTTAACTACTTTTATCGGTTTTAGTATTTAAATTAAATAATCGTTAGTCTTTAAACTAAATAATAAAAATGAATATTTTGATGACAATAAGAATTAGCACTACGAAATGTGTATAATATAGTCATACACATTTCGTTCATCAGAAAATAAGTAGATACTTCAAGTGAGATTGCGGTCAAACGCGCCCAAATTTAGATATAAAAATAAAAAAAAGTTTAGTTTCAATAGGTATATTTTTCTGTTAATAAGCTGTACATTTCAGCTGTACTTCTTTAACAGGGATAAAAAGTCAGTAGTTCAATTTTTTGCAAATTCTTTTAATAACAATAAAATATACTTTGTTCATCCTGCACTTTAGCATTCGATGACAGCTGTTAATATCATGCATATTACCAAAACACATAAAGAGACGTTATAAATAAATTAGAAAAGCTAGTCTAGGTGTTATACTGCAGCCCCTGTTACTCTGTCCTAATAGATCCTACTATAAAAAATCAATAAATAAAATATTGTAAGAACGCCAATTTCAAGTTGTTGGAAAACTATTAAAATTTATTATCTATACATATAAATACAATTGGTGTGTCTGTTTATAATATTGAAATAACCATTTTTTACCGTATTTATATTCATATAGGTATACATGTATGTATATCTATATGAATATAAATACGGTACATACAACAAAATAACATTATTTGTCTGTCTGTTTGTTCCGGCTAATCTCTAATATGGCTGGACCTATTTTATCGGGACTTTTTTTTGGCATCTAGCTGATGTAATAAGCAGTAACTTAGACTGCTTTTATTTTAGAAAATAAGAATTTTTAAAATTATCTTTACTTAATTCAGGTTTTCTTTCGAAATCAAATATCTTTCTATAGCCATAGAGCACAACCATAACCACACATACCTAGTATTCCTTGTCGACAAAGTCACTGTTTTTTACAGCTATATTTTTAGTTTATCAAATTTAAAAATATAATTATAAATTACAGTTGTGTAATTTACCAAATTTCTTTAAAATTCACCACCATGGGCTAATTGACTTGTCTAGGTATATGATGCTAATCCAATCATCTTCCAGTAAAACTTGCAACCACCTGCGGAAACAGTTTACCGCAGGTGGTTGCTCTACTACATTTTCATCCGTTAACAAAAGCCTAAACTTTGATTGATTGACAAAAGGTAAATCCGGAACTGACTGCCCACCTGTTGGTACTCGTAAGGGGCAAACTACGCCTATATACTTGCATGAACAGCACCGCGGACATCAAGCCAACAGGTGATGCCCCTAGTCCTCCCCGTTCGTTGCCATTCCGGAATGCTAAGATATTATGTACGCTGGAATTTCATTGTAGTATTTCATTCCCTATCCGAAACATGACGTAGCAAGCTGCTAGGTGGCAAAAATAGTTGAGACGTTGAGACAGAAACGACAGACAGACAGAAGACTTTGTGAAAATTCTATCACGGTAAAGTACATATGTATTTCTGGCGCTGACATAAGTATTAATCATTTGTAGACCACTGACTGTCGTGTATGTAAAATATATATTGGCATGCTGCGGAGGCCCTCAGCATACCAATATGAATTTTGCATAGAAAGCCTTCTCTGAATGATGAATTGCAGCTGCTGGCCGTAAGGCTACTTATTTGTGTAGCCTAAGAGGAACTTACGTAAATTGTCAAACAGGTAGATTTTAATTATTACATTATGCAATTACGACCAATAATGATTGAAGCAAACTAACTACATGATTCGTTGAAGTGTAAAGCGTCATATAATGTAACTCTACAATGCCTGCAACAGGTATTTGGACTTTATTTTAAAGCGCACATAAACGTTATTACAAGGAATTCTAGTATCCTATATACACGGTGTGTCGATTATATCCACTGAAAAGGTCCTAAGTTACAGTAATGGCAGTAAGTCCTTACTCATAGAGTCGCATTTGCGGACTTGTTCAGGAATGTAAGTAGTGGCGTTGATGTGGGCGGGCTATCGATCGGCGCGGGTATGTGCGCACCCACAGCTGCCAGTAAACACAGGACACTATCACAGTGAAGCAGTCGTAACGGAATGAACTCGCTGGTGGTGCTGCTTGTGGCTGCAGCGGCGATGTGCGCCATAGCTCGCCCATCCGGTAAGTTGATAAAGAATAAATGGAAAATAAAATTATTGTATGCATTTATAAATATATCTACATGTATTAAATGCCTAAAAGTTTTTTCATGGGGCGATTTACGCAACAACACTCAACGCGAATATTTTTTGTTATCTGTTGCTATATACTAAGCGTCTATGCGATCTAAATAATCGCTGCCAACGAGATTGTAATAATAAAACTACATTATTTTGTTTAATAATTATGAAATATTTCATTACATTATTAAAATATTTCAACTGGGTTTTGTAAGTAGCGATAGGAAGACACCTACAACTGACACCTGTTACGCCTTACTGTTGAATCGGATGTTAATAGGAATGTAGATGTAGGCAGGTACCAATGTAACAACCACTTGTGTGTTACTATTAATTCGACTCTATTTTTACTTACTCATTTTCTATGTTTTGTTAATATTTTAATAGATGAAAATTAAATATTGAACCCGCCTGCGCCGACGGTAGAGGTACGCTAGCGGAGCACCAATAAGGGATAATAAGATAAAAATGTGAGTAGTTCATCATGGAGAATTCACCACTCCCTGGTTGGTTTCTAAAGATTACTAACAAAAAACACCTCCTTCCGTAAAATTAAAAAATAAAATGCTTGCGAGTATTATGTAAGCGCTTAATATTTTGAAAAGCTATTGCAGAGTAAAAGGTACTCTAGCGTTCTGTGCTAAATGTGTCCTTATTTCCAAACAGACTTTTTTATGATGTACTTATTTTTTTTAATTCCTTACATATATTTTTCGATTGCAACGACATATGACGTAAAAGAAACAGCAAGAAAATAGAAAAATAAAGTCGAATTGTGTAGAGGCACTCTGTGTGACCGTAGATAGTTATGCGGCACGAACGGGCAGGCTCGACCCTGGAAGTAGGTACCACACCCCGCAGAGTACCGATGCCATGTACTAGCACTCAAAGTATTGTCTACTGCGTTTTGCATGGTGAGTGCTGGGGTCCAGACACTGATCTATCGTTCTCTATTTCTTTCCTAATCAGTTTCACCTGTGAAGGGGCACACCCCCTTCGTACCCAAGAGGCAATAAAACATTTGTAATTTCGCTGATGTTGCAGGTTCTCTTAAACGGTAATGATCAATTATTATGCGTATTAACTGTAAAATATAGGACTTTCTTTACTGTTTCGTCCATAATAAGATTTGCTAGTAGGAATAAATTACATAGAGAAAATAACAGGCGCAATCTTTGAAATACCATTACTTATAAAAGTTCAAATTAAATATTCTGTCATTCAATTGTAATATTATATAAATTATCTGCATTAAAAACAAATATCTATCACCTAAAAGGATATATAAATAAAATTTTCAAGTCAGAACTAGACAATGTATTTTTAAAACTCCTGGCATGTCCTAGTTTAATATTATAATACTTTTTCATCATTTATGAACACATTACGTTTTAAATAAAAATTATTTCATTTTTATATCATTACAATAGAAAACAAAAAATATAGAAATTAATGATTTATAACAAAACACCCATATAATACTTGAAAAAAATTTCCACTTTTTAGAACATTTAAAATTTATTTTTCAATCAGCAGTCTCAAAAGCATTATGAAAAAAAAATGGAAATCCACCGAATAACTGGATGTATGGTCTTGAAACCTTAGCATACAAATTATATGTCAAATATAAAAAACAATTACAATAAAAGATAGCTGATGAAAAATGAGAACCGTCGCTTATGAGTGGAACCACAGATATCTTAAAATATATCTTTTCTCTCATTCCATACCGCTGCTGTATCTGAACACAAAATACCTTAATAAAAATATACTACAGTTTACGAAAAACATATTCGTTTAATAATCAATTATATCTTTTTATCTTAATCAAGTAAATTCCAATCTTCTTAATCTCTAACTCTATTTTTTGTTAGGTATCTAAGTAGTAATATTTTCTCTAAAATCTCATTTAATTATTAGAAATGTTTCTTTTCTTTTACTCTAATTTTTTTTTATAATTTGGTACATAGAATCTTGAATATAATCTGTCTGAGTAGATAACTGTATCCGCAATACTAACACCGATATTCAATTTAACTTGCCTACGTAACTTTACCATCAAGAACTAGTAGATAAACATGTACATCATCATAACTACTCCTGCATCTGCAAACTATGAAACCGAACTCCAGCGTTGGTTATAGACACCTACAATAGATATTAACCTATATTGCAACAGTGACCTATTTTCTCGCGACTACACCCTGAACAATTTATAGAGCGCCATCTCGTCCCAAGCTAAACATAGCTTATATTATGAGTAGTGATAGAATACTAGAATACATTTTTTTATAAATATACAATTATAGTTCAGTATAATTAAGATACTTAGGCAGTTCATTAAGTACCAAATTCATGTAAGATTAACGTCGGTACAATATAGGTACTTCACAAGATATTGTTTCATTCAGTTATGATACCAGTAAATAGATAATAGTTTTCCCAAGTGGTATACCTATTTACCATTTAATTTACTAGAAATAATTAAATAGATGTAAATATATAAACGTAATTATTATAAATATGTATATCAACCTTCTCAATATTTTACATTTTATAAATAATATAGAAATATAATTCTTATATATAGGTATATTAACCTAATCGATATTTCACATCGGTGGTTTATTATAGTATCCATAACAATTAAAACTGAATTTCAAATTCATTGCTATATTAGTGGACATAAAATTAAGCAATAAAAGTTTATTAGATGCTATAAATGCTTATGCCCTTTAATTTTATTCATATACCATATTTATAAAACATGTGGTAGCTCTATGAATATAATTATACATTTGCTGTGAAATGTGTATAAAACGTAAGTACAAAATAACTATGTTATAAAAAGATTTCACTGAGATTGAAAGAAAAATTACTATTTTGTTACAGTGTCGTTTTTAAAGAATTTAGTTGCAGTAATGTACCTACTAGTTATGCATAATACTAGTACTAGTCACTCCTCCACTACACTCCAGTCCTAATACTAGTACTAGTACTAGTCACGCCATTTTACACAAACCAGCTTTAAATACAGTAGTTTAGAGGGAGGTAGAATGTAAAGAGTCCTCTACGTGAGTACCTTACTCTCATTTGTATGTATTTCAGCAGCCAAGTAGATTCCTTTATAAGGTGTATTACAGTTGTATGGTGCATAATAGGCAATGAAATAAGACATGACATCTTTGAATGGCAACACTTGAATGGTACTTTTTAAGTATATAGCGGAACGTTATCGCATACCACTAGGTGGATTATCAGGTTATTCGTCATTCAACTAACACAAAAAAAGTTTCGTGATAAACTGATAGATGAAAACCGAGAGTACTCGTGCATATCTAATAAAATTACACCGACAGTTAGTGCATCAAGCTGCATATTTCAGGGCCGACGCCGCCGCCGACGTCGTTGCTACCGCAGCCATCGTCCTACCGCAGACATGTACCATTGCCACCACGGACATATCTTGGCGAACTTATTTATCGGCAATTTATGTTACCACACTATATTGGCTACAATGAGAGCCCTCGTGTACCGTCGCAACCAGAAACTGATTGGCTCAACAAGGTATGCAGTCATTTCATTCTAACGTCATTAATTTCACAGTTTAAGTTTTAATATTAGTAGTAAATATGCCAATTATATTCAGTTCTGTTCTTAAAGATAAGTCGTCAGTATGATCATTTTTATTTCCTTACACTACCTTAACTATCTCATGAGTTTCTAATGTGTTTTGGATGCATTGTAGGAAATTGATCGCATTAATCGAATGCAAAACGATGAAAGGGCTCCGACCACTTACGACGTAGATGTAGCACACTGGGTCTCCCAAGATCCTTACTTGCAACGCATTTTCCACGGACCGGACAAGTCGCCCAGAATACCAGACTATGACCCGCGGTTTACCTCCTCTAACCCGGAGAAGTATCAATTGCTACCACCTCAAACACTGATGAATCCGATTACTGAGAAACCTCAAAAAGAAATAAAAAGAGACAAGGTGGAGTCTAAAGTGAAGGAGGAGAAAAATGCTTTTGCACTTACACCTCTCGATAAAGGTTATTTTGATCCAGATAGCAATCCTAAACTTCCATGTAAGTAATAGTAATTTTTCTTAGTAACAATAGGAAATTATAAAGTTGTTTTATATGAGCTTATTTACAGCAATTCCGATGTCACCACATGCTATGCACGAAGGGGGAAACCCCAAGGCAGCTATGTTACTGCAACCAGCACGTCAGATTCGACAAAATCCAAATCTAAGTAGGACTAAAACTCTCATAGCTGAAAACTTAGATCCTCTGAGACATGGCATGTAAGTATTATAATATCTATCGTATCTCATAAGTCTCTCGTGTTTGCCTACGTTGAAAGCTAAATTTATTATTTTCTACTTACTTGATATTTGATATACTCGTGTTATTGGGTAGGTAATTCAGACTTATTGTTACTGTTAAAATGTTTACTTGATTGATGATGATTCTTTATTAAAAATGTATTTTTGTATCTTTAAAACATGAAAATGTCTAATATCCTAATCAAATCAAAGGGGTTATTTCATGGGTATCGGCTTGAATTGCCTATTGATTTCTACAGTACAATTATTAGAGAGTGCAGTACAGTAAAGAATTCAATCCTTAAATAATAGAAATTAAGAAATATATTATTCATAGAAAATAAGAATACAATTATTAAATATAATTAAAATAAAAATCCAATACATAAGGTGTGTGTGTTCTTAAGAAGCTTAATTTTAAATATGTGTATGAAAATAATTATTCAATATTTGATATTTAATTAAATAATTTAATTATGTTTAATAAATATATAAACTACTTATTTAAAATAAATATAGATTACCTTTCATTATTATATAAATATTGTTAATAAACCAAGTAGTTTTATAATATTTAAATAACAATTTAAAGATAAATTTTTATATTTTAAATAAATAATTTGTTAAATTGGACAAATTCTTTTGGAGTTGAGTGAAAGTTGAGAATATTTTAACTTTATTTAAGGTGTATGATTTTAATGAAGCTTTATATAATAAGTTAATTTACTCATTTATTAATCTATGCTGTTTTAACATGTCTGCTGTACATCTTTAAAGATTATTATTTCTTTTTATAAAAAGAAATAATTATAACTGAACTAATGACGGCAAAAATTGTCGTTTTGACACACGTCAAATTATACTTGAATACTGTTCAAACGGGCATGTTAAAACGGCTGTTCTTTATTCGAACAGTTAAGAAAATTACTGTCCAGCTACGTGCACTGGAAATGGCCACCAAAGTGGGTCAAATACTTTAGAAAATTGTGGTGACGATAAATTGCATATTAATGCATTGATATGATGTCAAATGATTCTTTGATGCATCAATATGGAATAGTGCACTTACCTCCGCTTACAGTATAACAGCTGGCGGAGGACCACTCGTGCGTAATAGGTTTAGAATGATGAAGTCAGATCAGTCTAGCACATCGTGGAAACTTAATCAGGGATGATCCACGATGGTTTTATAGGAGAGCCACGTGGAGGTCATCCTAACAATGTACATTGCTAGCAATGGGGCCTCTAGTACCCATTTCTAGCAACCTACATTTGAAGTACATAGATGCTTCTAATGTTTATCGAACACAATAAACATTATAGTATCTATTACAGGGGTAGAAACTATAGATTACCCGTCTCCTTACTGCCATCTAATCTGCGCTGGTTGAGAATAAACCATCCTGATCTCGATGATAACGAGGAGAGGTGATAAGTAAAACCATATATTCAACACTTAGAAAACACCTTGAACCTATTAATGCTGGTATAGTCCTTTGTTAGCATTCGCATGGAACACAAACTTTTTGTACTTGTCTAATACTATGCGGTTTGTTTCACTTTACTCTGAAAAAAGAAGGCACTCGTGCAATTTTTGTATTAAAGCTAAAGTTGAAAGCTAAAGCACTTCGAATTATGAAGTTCACCTCTTTCGGTCTAGATACAGTAGGTACTAATTATTTATATTGAATTCGTTTTTTAACTAAGTATATAGATTTAATTCGAAAAGTGGTACTATTTATTTTTATTTAGATATTTAATAAAATATTATATAAGCATGATACTTTGCTTACTTAAGTATTAATCCAAAGTGTATATACATACCTACTATTATAGTACTGTATAGACAGTAGGTATTTTCCTAACTGTACATACATAGTTATTTAGATTACCATTGTCATTCTGTGCATGTAATAATAAATCAGTTAATTTTAAATTCCTTTAATCAGTAATAATATTTTTCATAAGTAGATCCACACTAGTACGTGATTTGGATCTCATAGAAAAGAAAATTCTATCATATAAAAATCTGATAACGAACTTGTGTGGGTATCTACGTAACTACTATGCACCGACAAATTTAACACGGATTGAAAGTAAACTGGTAGGTCATACCAGTCAACTCAATACCACTCAAATTTTTTGGTGGAATTACGTGAGCAAGACTCAGATTTTTTATTGTTATTAATTATATATTCAAACACAGTCTACACTCAAGACCATGGAATAATTGTTTGATTACATACACTTTGATAATATGAGATTAACTCGCAGTATACATTTATATTAACTCTAAATTACAATATATAAAATCGTAGAATACAAATAATCTATAATACTTGCATTAGTATACTAAATATAAATATCGTGGAAAGGAAAATAGTTTCTAATAATTATTCTTAGAAAATAGGCCACTTCACATATGTCAAGTTGACTGTAGGTCTATCAACAATAAGGCCAATTCATAATTATAGTCGGTTCTAAAAGTACTGTTATTATAAAGTGAATGTTGGAAAACATGCAAGTCGCATTAATAATGCATCACTTAATGCGAAATAATTACCCAGCACGACAATCGTATAACCTGTCAACTTGTTATACTCATTAAATATTAACATCGACGGATGACAACGAGCAATAAAAAGATATAGATAATATCACAAATTTGTGCATACTTGAAATTTATTACAGAAATGAACACGTAATCAAAATTGATAATAGTACCAAACTGCTACAACACTGTTGCAACTATGCATTTGCAAATTCTTCACAATATGGTGTGGCCTAGTGTTTACAAATATATTTTTTTGATACAGCTAAAGCACAGCTAGAGCCTATTCACACTGCAATTTTTGTCCGCGCTATTGTAATCCCGAGTTTTTGATCCACATACTGTTATAGGTATAATATATGTACGTTCTAACATTTCTTTTTATATGGTAATAATTTTACATACAATACTCAATTGGCGAATATATCGCACGAACGTGGATTATTCTCTTGGATTTTTCCAATTCATGTATTATTTTTATACTATCAGTGCAAAATGGCCAAATTAGTAATATTTTTCTATTATTAGTTGTACAAATTGTATACATAACAATCACCTTTTATTTCTTTAGGTACTTTTTCTCTGTGTCTGTACCGGAATCGAGCAATGACTACAGTACCGTTTTCGAATTTTGTAGTATCCTAGTATTTTTTCTTTAAGTTCTAATATCTAATATATTATATAATACTTAAATATAACTCTATATCCAACCTACAATATTGTAATATAATTGTACAAGTTTCGAATCAAATACGGAAAGTAATTAACCCATGTAAATAAATTAAATGCTAATTTACGTGCACTGCTAGTCGGAAATACATACACGAAACGAAGTTTTTACTCCGCTTTAAAACTAGGGTACCTATACTTTCCTACCACTTGATTACGGATTAATACCTGTTGTTTTAAAATAAACTAGATCAAACATTGAGAGGAGTAACAATTTCCATACAAAGAATGTTTGCCTAGATTGTGCATAAATGTTATAAGAATTTTATTAGAGTTTCACTATCTTAGTATAATCGTGAGCGTTAAAATCCAATGGGATATTTTGACAATGACAGTATTAGTAAAACAATGTTTATTTTACAGGTTAATTAAGTTTCAGTACTTACATTTCTATACATACGTACATTCCTATTTGATGAGATATTAATTTATTATATGCCTGTATATCGAAAAATATAATAACTACAAAACTTTTGTCTTTCTCTATTGACATACTGCATTATTTAAATATAATCTACTCATACAAAAAAATTGATTATCTACTATACATGTTACTATAAAACTAATTAAAATACAACTTTGAATGTAAAGTAAAGGCAGTGTCGCGGATTTTAACGCAAGCGAGAACGTACTTTGTTTTTTGTCGACTAACTGCACTGATTTATACACAACTGTGTCGTGTGAGCAATAAATCAATTAATTTTGTGAATTTAGTTTCAGTAGATATTTTGTGAAAGTTTTCATACTGTGATATCTTGTAGAACACACGTAATGTGCGTTACCGAGGTATCGAATCTAAAATTCTCGGTCTTATTGCTATTTACTTTAGCAGCTCACACGAAGATGGTGGTTACTCAACGGATAAGCCACGCCATGTTCATATACTGGAATCACCAAATGATTTAACTCAGTTATCTCAGTTAAATCCAGCCGATTCCATATACGGGGTGGCTTTGATTGCTGCAGTAGGAGCTGCACTTACTATGGCTATATTTGGATTCGCATTCGGATGGTATACGTAAGTATTACGGTTAATACAACCAATTAATAAAAACCTTATATAAGTCGCATATGTCGTATAACATCTAACACCCGATTTATAAATCTCTTGGAAACTGAGTGCCATCAGACGATAACTTTATGGATGTGCACTTATTGGTGAAAACAAATAGCGTCTGCTTCACGAACTTCCTGTTACTAAGTTACTAGCCTTTTAATCCTCCTTACAAATTTCAGAAAAGTAAAAGGATAGATGACACATATAGATAATCATTAACTTAGTAGGTAATATGTTTTACTTAGTAGGTTTATATTAAAATTTGACCGCAATCTCACCTGATAATAAGTGATGATGCGGTCTAAGATGACTGACCTGACTTGTTCATACAACATTTTTCTTTATAACCGTCAATATACACATGAATAGTACCTATAACAATATGTTTTATAATATTTTGTTTTGTTTCTTATATTTAAAAAAAAATTGGAAGAAATAAACAAAGAAAATTACATTTTGAACCAGTAATTTTGCATCTACAGTTTTGTGTACGCAGGTACCTAACTACATATTTACCTATAGTTTAAAAACTGTTACACCTCGAAATTGGGTTATTCTCTATCGATTCACTTTATATAAACATAAGTGACCATGTGTATTGTAGACAGAGTGTAATAAAAAATTCGAAAAGCTTAGGTTTAACTGAAGGCTGCTAATATCGATTTAGAAGCTAGTTTTGAACAAACTATAATATTTTAAGCATTGTTTTCACATTGTGTACGTTGTATATCCATAAAATCAATAAAATGTCGTATGTCTTGACACATGCACTAGAAGATATAATTATAGCAGCCTACATTCTACTGTACCTATTTCGTTCTAGACGGGCGTGGCAAATTGATATTGACTACAGTTCTGCTATTATTGCATTGGGGAGTTTGGAATACATTTGAATTTAAAACTTATCTAAAACGAAAATAATGACTTTAGATTTTGAACATAAAGCACACAATTTAGAGACTAAAAAAAACTCTCAACCTTTTATTCTATTGTAATTTGTCTTTTACCATTAAAAGTCACTACTTGGTTTTCCTACCTACAAAACAGGATTTTATGATTTTAACGTCTATTGTGCGTGCAGGAGCCATCATAGCTCCCAAATTCATGATTTTTTTGACAATTTTTATTTAATTGACGCGTTCGAGTTGACGGCGTTTGAAGACTATGAACTCATTTTCTGAATGATGAATTTCATTTACTATTTGTAATGGATAGTTTAATATATTTGATTTAGGTTACTTGTACTTGTAATTGTACTTAGGATCACTGTAGATTTAGATTTTTCATTGGCATTACTTACGAAACATGATATTTTGCGATACGTTATATTCTTTAAAAATATGTTTATGATTTAATTTTTTTCATGGATATGCAATTTGAAATTACTTAATATTGTAATGAAAAGTCAGGTTCTGGTTAGTTTAGGTTTATATTCTAGTCCAGAGATAGCTATATTGTATCTACGAGCTGTATACAAACGATGTATATTGATACTTTAGGAATTCGTGTGTGGCAGGTGTCCATGCCTTGGGAAAAAATTACTTATGTAATCAATTATTAAAAAATCTGCCTTTTGAGTGATTTACAGACAAGTAGATAAAAATCCAGAGTGTATGCTTCTGATCTGTATTCATTTACCAGTCTTCTTGAATTACTGAATTAGTTATTGATGTTTTCTATTATTAGAGAAATACTGAAATATTTTAATTGACACAAAGGTGTCCATAATTTATAACTTAACTAACTAATGATTTAATGATCGTTAATATTTATATCAACAGCAAGTAAGAAAGACAAATCAAATAATAAAATGAATTTAAATGTAAATGTAAAATTTACCGCAGGTTATCTAAAAAAGCAAAGGCAGCAGCTGATGTTGATTATCCTGCTTATGGTGTAACTGGACCCACTATGGACACCTCGGGCGACAGGAAACTGGCTCATTCGGCGCACATGTACCATTATCAACACCAGAAACAACAGATCATTGCCATGGAAAGGTAAATTTATTTTATAAATATTACATATGCACACTGTCCACTACATTGTAATTACAGGATTCATTAAAATACTTAATTTGTACATCCTTATCTATATACACCTATACATATAAATAAAATTATACATTAAACATTATTTTTAAGGTTTTTAATTTTAGGTTCTATGTTGTACAATTACGTAGCTATAATATAAGTACATTACCGAATTAACTGTCGACATTGTGATAAACAGTACATGACATTAACATGCTTACACTTCGCTGAGAATAATTGAAACTGACGTGTCTGTGAACGGCGCGGCGGCGGACTTACCGACATCTCTCGTATTAATTTACTTTATTAAAAATTATTTTCACATTACTAAAATAAATTATGTACTTATTTTAGTAATGTCAAAATAATTTTGACATAATTTTTGGTTTACATTAAAACTGTCGTTATTAAAGTAATTTCTCTATTAATATATCACATAAAATATTTAAAGTCTGTATGAATATATTTACTTAAGAATTTAAAATAAGAAGTTAATAATTTTCAGTTACAGTTATTTTTTATTATATATACTCATATAATAGTAATAAAATTCATTGTGGAAAACTTAAAACTAATTTTGCGATATTAGCTGAAAGGGCTGCACTCAGGTGCTGCTGCAGTGTTGATTTTCAGTGGACCTACCACTCGAAAGAAATAGCATTCGTGATACATTATTAAGTTTATATTAAATATATTAAAGGTTAATAGTAGTTAAATGAGCGGCTTATATTTTTTATCAACGGAAGAAAAATTAATAGTCATTTGTGAATAAATTTATGAAATTTGTCAAATACAATTATTCATTGTGTAATACAACTTTAATACAATAAAAGTAACTCTTTTATTAGATATTTTGCGTATTCAACAACCACTTTTAGAACTTTTGTACTTGAAATAAATGATATTTGAAAGATTAAACTTATATAGAATTTTGTATCGAGGGAGATAAATTGTTCCAGCATTCCTATGGGAATGTTTTAAATATCACCACCTTTTTTAAATTACATGACAAGTAGACCTTTAAAATAAATATTAGCTCCAAAATACTTATATTACATAATATTATATGTATATAATATATCGATTTATGGGTTTTATAGTTACGAGGAGTTATGAAACATGATATCGAAATAGTTGGCTACGAAAAAATACCTACTGAAGAAGAAAATATTAAGTTTACGTTTTTATAGGTGAATTTAATATTTTTGTTAATTAATTTCTAATATTGCAATTTAAATTTTTTGAAAGTTGCGCCGGTTATAGAAAAGTTGCGAGGTAACAGATTAAGCTGGTGTGAGCATGTTATGCGGAGGAACGAGGATCATGTCTTATGGAAACTGTATAATATGAATGTCGATGGATGTAAAGGGAGGGGACGCCCTAAGAAAAGATGGATGGATTGTGTGAGAGATGATATGAATAACCGATAGAGAGCAGTGGAATAGAATGACATACTGCACCGACCCCAAATAATGGGATAAAGGCAAGGCAATGATGATTGTAATTTTAAGATTTTAAGGAATTAAATTAATACTCCTACTTATTATTAATTAAAGTCGATTTGGACCTCAATTATTTGATCTTTGAGATACCTAACTATGTATGTATTTAACTTAATAATATGTAAAATAAAACATAATTAAGTAACTTATAACACGAAAAAAAATATGAGACAAACAGATTTAGAGTTTTTAAAAAAGCGTCTATATAAATAATTAAATATTTATATAGACGCTTTTTTAAAATTTTATTAACATCATTTAGAAAATATTATATTGGTTTACCAATGAATAAATAGGGATATTAATGATGATGACGAAGAAGTGAAAGTGATGAAGTGTTATGGTCTCAACTTTAAAAGTAATAAATTAATGAGATTAGCTTTTAAAGTAAGTTTAATATCTGCTAGGACTATAGACAAATTGCATAATTTTATTGTCTTACAAGAATTTGACTTTGCAACCGTCATCTTTTTTTATTAGGAATGGTTTGGAACAACGCAATGGTTCCGTCTCTGACCCCGAGTCCGAAGAGGAAAACGAAGAGGGAGACTACACTGTTTACGAATGCCCAGGATTCGCCACGGTAACTATGCCCTTGATCTATCTAGTACCTATCTTTCTCTATCTATGTAAAAGCATCTTAAAATATATACACCTACTTTTTTGTTATAATTGTTAAGATAAAATAAAAACTTGTACCTACATAAGAAAACACTTCAAAAATAAAATTGACATTTTAATTAATTCAGTGTGAACCTGCAGGGCAGGCAGCTATTATTTAATTTTTTTTATTTGTCGTATAATCGTCTTAGTCTTTGAAAATACAGGTAAATATAGAGAATTTGTTGAAAATTATTGAAGAAAATGTCGCGCCTAGGTAATTTCGAAGTTATCATTTCATTACCCATTCTCTTTATTACAGGTATTCTGCAATTTCATTTTCGTACTTGAAGAAAGTCTATCTAATATTCTTTCAAGAAGTTTGAATACCTTGTAATTCTGCCTTATTCCTTAATAATTAGGGCGGTCCGGCCTGGTGTCTACTCTTTGTATATTTATGTATAACGACTAGGTTTGCTAAGTTTACCTATTATAAGTTTCCATGACACAGTTTCATATCTAGACTTGTACTGTAATATAATAGTAAAGTATCTTTTCATATTTTAGTAATTTGTAAAACCACTAATTTGAGATGATACTACACGTTATTGTCTATTACTTATTATTATTATATATTATATTATATTATTATATAACACTTATTATCTAATACACATGTTCCTTTAGAAATCTTTACATTAACATGACAAGTTCAACTTTTATTAATGAATTACTTGTTCTTTTTATAGACTGGTGACATGGAAGTAAAGAACCCCATGTTTTCTGAAGATCCGACTCCACCAACACCTGGCAAATGCGAAGTGGTAAAGCCCCAACCCAAGAACTAAGTTCTGCCATCCCAATGATCACCGCCACCTGCTATCCGGAACAGACACCTAACGACTTAAGCGTTATCTTCAAGTTCTATAATGTCGTATCAATATTATAGATTATAAAATCGTAATCATTACAATTAGTAGTATCAGTAAAATATCCGTAGATTCAAAATTTGGAAGCTGTTATTGTATTAGGTAAATATAATTGTTTAAATATTGTTCACACGTAGATAAATAAAATGCTAACTACTGCAGAATATTGAAATTATAACTCATTATCGATATATTAGGTATCGCATTTTATTCAATATATACACATACTCGATTTTATTATAGCTGATTAAGAATTGCAAATTCATAGGACGACGAATTAATATAGTGCCTGACAGATTGTAACGAACGTGAAATAACATCATCGTAGTGTAGCTCAGTTATTAAAAGGTAGATAGAATGTTAAAATGTCCGATAATGAAATATTGAAAGCATCATCGTAGGACTGTTGAATGAAAATCAACAGGTGGCTGGCACAGGTGTTGCGGCAATGCATCGCCAGGTTCTATTTGTAGCGTTAATTATTGTGTATAATTACTTGGAACCATTATTAAACTCAAATTATTTACTAGCACTCTAAATATTTTAGAATGTAGGTAGGTAGGTACTTACCTGATTATCTGTGCAAATATATTGTATTCGTAACTGCTCAAACATAAAGGGTAAATATATTATAAAATATGAGTATACTAGGCCATATACTTATTATGTTGATTTATCTTTCACACTATTGATTGAAAGCATGTCACAATAATTATATACTGAACTAATTAATGATTCACCGCTATAAAACACAATTATATTCCATTCAGGTGTTTATTATCTACACGACATGTTTTTATTCTTGAAATCTTTAATATAGAATATCGTATCATAAAATATATTTAAAAAATGGAACTGTTATATAATTCCAGGCCTAGAGTATCATCGACTTTTGAAACCTTTGACTTGTGATAATGTAATTGATTTCATTCTTGTTAAAAAATATGATAATCTAAATAAGTCTAAATATTATTTACAATATTAGGTATATTAGCCTAAATAATGTATAATCAAGCATTTTATTATTATAATCTGAAATTAACCAATGATATATCTTAAAAAGTATTATGTACCTAAAAATGACCACTGATTGTTTATATAAGTATTTAGTATTTATTACGAATTTAGTGTAGGTATACCTACCAATTAACTCCGTAAAAGTAGCAAAAGATTCCATGTCTTGAATTTTAGATAAGTCATGTGAAGGGCTACGGGAAAAACATAAGAGGCAGGCGTGGTGCAGTGTGATAGAATATTTTTTTGTGTATGACGATGAAATAGCCGCCTATGCAAATTAATGACGGTGCTTCAGTTAATGAGTTCAATAATGAAAATTAACTCAGATCACATTTCGATTAATCCATTAGAAATTAACAACCCAAACAAGACTTTCCATATATTGCTTGTTATCTTTATAGCAATTCAGTCTATTACCCGCATACGCCATTAATAAGAAATAGGGTAAAATTATATAGCTACGAACATCCGCTACACCCTTCTCACGGTCTACAATAATCTATCAGTTAAATTCAGACGAATAATCTATAAGCTCTAAATATAATTGAATTGGTACATTTCGTTATTTGGCGACAATTAGGTCTAAGAAGAATTTAAAAAATAAAACTAATTATTACTCAGTATTTATATCTAGTCACTGACCATAGTTAGATTATACAATTAACTATATGTTAAAAGATCTTATCATTTACATGATTAAATAAAAATTCAGTTGTATTGAACAATGATTATGTCAGACATAACTAATTATATAAAGTTGTATAGCATTAATGTAGTAAAATGCTGTCGAGCAGAGGTTTACTAACAATATATTTTTTTAGCAAAATTCAGAGTATATTTTGATGATGTTTTTTTTTAATCGAAACGTATTTGTTCGATAACTTGGAGATTATAACAGATTATTTTGTGATTTAAATATATTATATTTCTAAATTAAATATAATTATACAAAATCGTATATAAAGACACCTTAGTAACCATTAAATGAAAATTATATATCAATAAAAATGCCATTAATCCTCAAAGAGGAAACAGGAGACGAAATAAGCGAATTGAGTATCTATAGCTTATTGCAATACGGCGAGAGTGACATATATCTATAAAATATAAGCAATTTAAAGATATTCACAGCATCCAACAAAACAGGTGATTGAGCAAAAGATGAATTATGAATGTTAGAAGTAATTTCAACTCACGCAACAATTTTAAAGAAATAAGTGCCAAAATGTCATCTGTTAATACGCGGTGTATATAATATAGTAATGGAGCGGTGAAGTTATAAAGTAGGGTTAGATATTCATGAGCCATATATGAATCATTTAGTTCTGTATTTTTGTATGTGCACACATCCGCTCTATTATCGTATCTGGGAATGATGTCGATGGGCGTTATTTAACCAATAAAACAGCCATACGTAATTAACTATACAGGCATAGTCAAATGGAGTTCTCTTAAGAGATATATATGTAAACGTGAATTTATACTAAGAGAGCAGTTGCGTGTCTCTATGCTACCAATACAAATATTGTTGATTGCAAACGTGCTTTGCAAAGATTTACAAAGAGCACTTCTATTGCTTAACTATGACCATTAAAAATATATACCTATATTGTTCTCTTAGTCTAAACCCACCTGATTGTAGTCTATAGAACATATTCAAATAAAATATTTTAAATGTAAATGAAAATTAATATCTTAAAAATGATTTTTAATACAGAAACTATTACCTTTTGGGCAATAGGATTTATAATATTTACAGTTTTAATGATATACATATCTACTACACAAATTAACTACCTATGTCAAATTTACCATAAATATGTTTATTGTATACGCCTAATATATGCCCTGCATATTTCAGTCCCCATCATTATGTTAAATTATAAAGTACTTAATAATATGAATTATAATATCGCGACTAGGTTTAATTATATTATAAACTAGTTCGCATTTCCTCCTCTACCGAAGAGGTACCTACTGCCTATTGAAACAATTAAAAAGACAGGGTTATGCCAAATCAATGCTATTTATAGATATAATAAATATAGAGTATCTTCTTGGTGATTAATTTGAATTACAATTACAATAATTTATTGTATTGTGCTATACCTACCTACTTATAAATGTAATAATTGAAAACACTTGTTCTAAATAACTTTAGGCAGCTAATCATACCTTATTAATATAAGTAATTAGGCATTACCAATTCTATAGTATATAGAACCATGAGTATATTTAATGAAGGTAAAAATCGGACTGTATGTACACATTTAGTTGTAATGGATTCTACTTGAAGGTTTAAGATAACTGTCATACTACCTACATACTTATAGTACCTAAAATATTCAATGTGTAATAAAATTATGAGCATAAGCATCAACTTTCTGTAAACATTACTGTTTCAACATATACTTACCTATCTCTATAATACTCTTAAATAGAATACATTTCTATTTCGTATGACAGATACAGTACCACTTTGCCGTATATTTTTTCAATACAAATATTACTTACATCTTACATTAAGCGTCATCTACATATACCTATTGTTTCATGTCCATACACCTATTTACATCTGACCAATAGAAAACTTTTATCTACAATAAGTGATGGGTAGTCTTTAGCTCTACTACTTTTAATTTCTTTAAAATAGTACGAACACTGCCACATTACCGTAAAGTTCCTATAACGTTCCTCCTATATGTCACAGACGGCCTTGGCTACAACTTGTCACATAATTTTTTAATTAGCATGCAAATAAATAAAACTGTTATAATTTTATGGAAGTTTAGTTCTAGTTTTAATATTTTGTTATCAAAAGTATGGACGTGTAAAACATGTATCTAAGTGCTGTGGCGCATTGTTATTTACTCTTCCCGGTATGGGCAGTTAAAATTGTAAGTAATACAAGTTCTCTTCACTTACGAAACACAGGTAGCTCATTCCCAAAAAACTTTTACAGGGACCGCGTAATTCTTTTAAAATGTTATTAAGAATTTACCAATTATTATCGATGTCATACTCTGTGTTAGTACTTAGTAGGTACCTACAATAGCCTACAATTCAACAAAACGTACCTATAGCTTACTAGTCTACCTTTCACACTTGCACCTATATACTTAATTAAAATATAATTGGATTACTGCATATAGATTAGGTACTCAGTAAACAAGGACATAATTGATATGCAATGAATACATACAACAGATATCTATCAATACAAATAAACCCCCTTACCACTTAATAATTATCACACCACTCGTGCATCGTTATAAATCATAGGTAATCACCGGCTTATAAAATAAGCAATTGTAGCTACCAATTAACTTAGCGTATTTATTTATAAGGGTAGGATTAAATTTTAACTACCGAATACACTTTTCATTATAAGGGGGTGCTTTTTAAATGTATATCTAATGACGAGCTCACATTTTAAATGCAGAGTTTTATCTACGTCATGAAAAGCACAACTGTTTACTGAATACATATTTGTGTAAATTATCTTTTTTGACTTTTATTTTTATGTATTGCCACACACCCGTATCATATAAATTGATCTCAGATCAAAAACTATAAAAAATATTTTGCAAGGAATTGGTATACTGCATTAAATCATATAATAAGTAACAATAAGTAATATGTAACTATATGATTAAAATAATAACTATATGATCCAATATGTGATAATATCAATCCTAAGAATCTGTAAACTTGCAACTCATTTTGAATTTAATATTTATTGGATGCAACTCAAAAGCAAAAATGAAGAAAAAAAATATATCTGTATAATGTATAATAACAAATACGTCCACCACAATCGCAATATCTATTAAACGTAATCAGAAGTCTTTATTATATCACTCTTGTGTCACAGTAATGAATATAATTGAAAAAAAATAATTGATGAATATAATCGTCAAATAAAACTTATTTAATTTAAGTCTAATAACAACAATTTATTAAAAAAAGGTTATCTAGTCATATAGTAGGTAATGTTATTCATTTACTACTTTCAAGTGGATATATTCTATTTTGAATATATTATTAGTAATCAAACTATTACCTACGGCCACGTAAGTGGGCGGATAACCACCTGTAACACCAGGAAACTACAGGAATGTTGCCGGCTATTCAGGAAGTGGGTGAGTAAATAGTACTTGCAATATATTTAAAATGATAACTGCAATCCTTTTTGTATTGAAGTACCTATATTGTATATATAAAGAACTTTTTACTGAAGTTATAAAAAGTGATAAATTCTGTAAGAAAACGTACGGAGTTATATTCACTTCAGAAAAAGCAACTCGTGAGGGATAGCACAAATCTCAGAGATTTTTTTATGTACGTGATTTATGTTTAATTAACATATTAATGATATGGATGAAGTAAAGTGTTCTCTCTTCTGTTTTAAAATGGTTTATTGCTTAAATGCATATATATAAAACTAAATGTATCAAACAATAAAAAAAAAAAAAAAATCGTATTAGACAATAAACCTATTAATTTTGTTGACGATTCTGTATTTCTAGGTATCATATTAGATTCCAAGTTGCAATGGGGTGCCCATATTACTAAATTGGCGAGTCGACTTAGTTCTGCCGCTTATGCGGTAAGAAGAATTAGACAATTAACAAATGTGGCAACGGCTAAACTTGTCTACTTTAGCTATTTCCATATTTTGTTATGAGCCAAACCAGCGAATATAAATACAATATTTAACAAAAGAGGGCCATTTTCTCCATTTATAGTACGGCTTCCAGGGTGTCTATACGAGAGAGCTTTTAGCAATCAAATATCCTCACCGTTGCTTCTGTTTTGAAAATATTATGTATGCCAGGAAGAATATATCTACATAATTTTAAAAGAGTTAGTGATTACACTAATAAAAGTTTACGTAACAATAACAAACTGATTTACTAGATTTTACTTAAATGTCGTTTAACTAAAGTTAGTCGTTTTATGGCAATTGCGTAAGGTTTTACAACAAAATACCAGAGTCTGTTATAAATCTGCAGGAAAAAAGATTTAAATGTCATATAAAATACTTTATTTGCAAAAAAGCTTACTATAAAATTGAAGAATATTTTAACGATAACGTTTTCTTAAAAAAACTTAAAATCTATAGCGCTGACAATATTATCTGTTTACACTAACGATGAGTCCGTAGCGATTTCTATGTTGATTATCGCATGCCTCTTACTTGTTATTTTGTAATAATTTATATAAAAAAAAACATCTATTCAAAAGAGCAACACACAAGTTTCTTGCTCATTCTTCTTGTGAATCAAAATATGACTATTCAAAAGTGCTTGTAATGAGTTTATTTAAATAAAGATTATATCTATTTTTATTGTTTAAATTAGTATTTTGCATTAGAGGAGAGGAGCAAGATCTAAAGGGTTTTATTTGATTATTTTAACTCATTTTTATATGTCTTTTATCCGTATCGTCTTTAATTCTACATAATTTTATAACTGATTGGCAAAATAGTAGTTTTT